TCTAGAACCCCATCTTTTACCCTATCTTGACACCCTGGCAGATCCAACTTTCCAACAAGATAATGCCCGACCACATGTTGCAAGAGTCACAATAGACTTCTTTCAACATAATGATATCACATTGTTACCATGGCCACCAAGATCTCCCGACTTATCCCCAATTGAGCACGTGTGGGATATGATGGGTAGGAGATTGCTCAATTTGCAAAGGCCTCTTCAGACTCTAGAAGCACTTCGAGAGGAGTTGGTGGTTGCCTGAAATGAGATACCACAGGAGGACATTGACCACCTGATCAGAAGCATGCCTAGGCGCGTTGGAGAATGCGTAGCACATCAGGGTGCATCCACACATTATTAAAGGTCAAAGGGCTTTAAAGCTGTGCAATCATTTTGAAATTTTTAACATTTACTTATAATGCTTCATTAAGTACTTATAAAAAATTTTTATTAAAATAAAACCATTTAAACTGGGTGTTCGAATTTATATGTCACTTAGTATACATTGCTCCATGAACAAATGCGTTATTAGTAGAAAAACTAAATTCCTTGTTTTTACATTATCTGCAATGAAGACAATACAAGTCTGAATATAAGCACACTGAGGGACAAAAATATGTAGACAAATTCTTTTCAACATTAGTTTAGTACAGTTTCGTGTCAGAAGAGGATTAGTTTGTGTTCATCAAGTATTGTCGAATAAGTTGAGTGATTTTAAGACCATGCCGTGTGGTCCAGAAATTTCTTTCGATGTGAAAACTAAGATCATTGAGTTATACAAAGATGGTCAACGTCAAGTCGACATTGCCAAAAATTTGAAGCTGGAGCGTAAAGCAATTTGGGCTATATTGAACAAATATAAACAAAAAGGTATCTGGGAAGCCTCTAAGAGAAGTGGTCGGCCTAGAAAACTAAATGCTCTAGTTAGATTAATAAAAGTAATTTCGTCCAAAGATCCGTTTAAAACCACAAGACAAATAAAAGCCGAAATCGAGACAAAAGGAATTGTCAGTGTTTGTACGAAAACTATAAGTAGAAGATTAAATGATTTGAAGTTATTTGCAGGTCACCCAAGTAAGAAGCCGCTAATCTCGAGGAAAAACCGTAAGGACTGATTACAATTTGCACGGTTGCATCTTGATTGGAGCATCTGTGACTCAAAGAGGGTATGTTTCAGTGACGAATCCAAGCTCAATATGTTTGGATCAGATAGTGTTCACTACGTTAGGCGTCCTAGTGGACAAAGATTGAACCCCAAGTACACTTTGCCCACTGTCAAACATGGAGGCGGGTCTGTTATGGTTTGGGGGTGCTTTTCGGGGTTTGGGATGGGACCTTTACATAGAATAGATGGCATTATGAATAAGTTTGTATACACAGACATACTAAAGCATGTCATGTTACCCTATATAGAAGACAATAGGCCCTTAAGATCAATCTTCCAGCAAGATAATGACCCGAAGCACACTTCAAATCTCGTAAAGAAATTCTTTCTGGATGAAACAATACCAGTTCTCAAATGGCCTTCACAGTCTCCCGATATAAACCCCATTGAAAATCTATGGGAATATTTAGATAAGCAAATACGAGATAAAAATTATTCAAACAATGATGAACTTTTTGCCGCTTTAGAGCAAAAGTGGAGACAGACTGATGAATCTCATATCAAGAAACTTCTACAATCTATGTCGAGAAGATGCCTGGCGGTGATTGATAATAATGGTTATGCTACAAAATATTAACACAAACATGGTTGGTTTTTTATAATTCAATGAACTTTGCTTCTGTTTTCTATAATTGTTTTGCTTGGTTTATATATTTTTGTTCTTCATAGTATCAGTTTTTTCAATTAATTTTTTATTGAAGGGTCTAATGAATCTATTTATGTGTAAATGAGTATTATGCTATAACGAATTATGTATACAGGTTGGTGTATTAATAAAACAAGTTAAAAAAGAAATACAGCACAATATTAATTTGTCTATATACTTTTGTCCATTACTGTATATATATATATATATATATATATATATATAGAGGGTGTCGCATCGGGAACTTCATCGATAGATTTCTCGAAAAGTAATGTAGTAATGTCGATGGGGCAACGGCAGCTAAAATATTTTCAAGACGGTGGCACTCTCGGTTATACCAGAAGTTGATGCCAACTTGCTTATTTTAAATTGTGTATTACTCAATATTCGGATTCTACATAAAATTCTGATCACACTTCATGTATAATCTCCTATACCCAAGCGCAAAATTCTGCTAATGATATTTTTCGTAAAACCTGACTTTCTTGTAGTTTTTCGTAAAGACATCATTGGAAAAGCATAAAAATATCCCAAAGCTGCTATTTCAATGGCTTCAACTTTAACTAAAGGTTTATTCCTTTGAATCTTAGGCTTCACACAACCGTAATTTTTGAAATTCTCTATTGCTCGTTTAGCCGTGCGTCCGGTCTTCTTTTTTCTGGATATGAGCAAACACATCATATCGACCCCTGCAACGAGGACTATAGTAACTCAAAAATCCTTGCTTTTTACCTACTATACGGTATCCATAGACTTTATCGGGTTCTCTTTGGAGGAAGAATATGGTATATCAGTCATGAAACTATAGGGAACCAGTAAATCTTCTACGTCATACAGTAAGTATAATAGTGGCCATTGCTCCCGAGAAAACTATATCAAATTGAGTAACTTTAGTCTTCCATGCAAAAAAGCCGAACTTACTGTTAGACCTACTGAGGATATAGAAATGAATACCGAAAACGTTTCAAGTAGTAGCTGTATGAAAAGAGCAGTTTTCAAAGCGAACGAAAATGAATTGAACAACGAAAATAATTCTGGCAAATGCAAAGAAGCTAAGTGGAGTTGCTGAACCGTTAAATCCAGGCAAGTTTGATTCATAAGTAGTTTTATTTTTTATTACCATATTTGTCGCATCACACTCTGTTTCTCTCATGCCTGTGAAATAAAAAAGTTTAACAGAGAATTTAACTACAGTCCTCGAATTTTGCTAATACGCCACTCGCGTGTTTGCTTTTCATTCGTTCATCTCCAAGTCTGGACCCGACACAGTCCTGTATCGTACTGATGAGGGCTAAAGAGCCAGAAACAGCGCTGTCTGCGGTTGGTCGTGGATCCATTAGTTTTAAACAAAAGGTAAAATCGGAAAATTGGAACAAAGACGATTGTGGAGAAGAGATGAAAATAAATAAGATAAAGGAAGTCCATTTTTCCTTGGACGTGCCTCGTGAAATGAAATATAAGTGTGACTATGCTGATCATCTCACTATAGTGAAATCGAAGAAAAATTATCAGAGAATGAGACCGCAAAACAATACGCTTCAGGAACTATCTTTATTATACACAAAAGCTTGCTTCCAGTAGATGTTAGAAAATTAAAAGGTTTATTAGACCTATGTAAATCAAAAGCGAACAGTCTTCGTAGCATTCCTGAGGCTTAACTGCTTTTTATTTTTCTCTAAAAGCCAAGGAAGATAATGAAATACAAAGAAGATATAATATTAACAGTGCTGAAACTACAGAAGTTGAGAACAATGATAGTGAAGAACACGAAGATGAATATAATTTGAGTGACTCAGTTCGGCATTAAAGAGGATTTGTTTGAAAAATACTGTAATATTTCAATAAATGTCCTACTAAGTCTAGAGCAAGTGTACTTTTACTTTAATTGATCCAACGAAAACTATAGTAAGTCAACAAAATTTATAAAAATATTGTCATATTCGCTAGGTTGGTATTGTAATACTATTTATAACCTTCTATATACAAGAATTACTGCAATGTGCAACATATTTTTGATGAGATCGTCATTTTTCTGAAAATGAAATTCATTAGAAAATATGGTAATGCCTATATCTCAGTTCAACGAAAACTGAGTTACAATAGTCTTCCTTGCAGGGGTCGATATGTTCTTGATATCACTCTGTTGCATTAAGCATAAATAATAGATAAATTCAAATAGTCTTCGTAAGTGAAATTTACATGCTCGGGCATGTTTATTGTTAATAATTTATAAATAAACTGTCAAATGCAGGGCATTATTATAAAGTGCCGTTTTCTTAGAGCGCAATTGTTTGTTCTCCGCGTCCCGTCGTCATAGCCAACTAATTAAAAAAACCAAATCTGTACTTATAGGAGTTTTACAATAGAAAAGCAATAAATTGCAAATTACTCTAAAAGTAAGCATTTTTGGGATAGATAACCCTGTATAAAGTTACGCTAATTTTTAATGCTTGATGCGATAAACTTATAAAAATAGGGGACTTTCATTTGAAAAAAACGACATTTTTGGCAATTTTTGACATTCAATTTTTATACTAATTTTTTGACCACCCCGTATCAATAATTATCGAAATATCATACAAAGTTTATTAAATTATATCCCTGTTTACCAGAAAATCAATCTACATTAAGCAATAAGGTGTTCTACATAGGGGAAATGAACAATTATTTTATAGCCTGCAAACGTCATTTTTGACTTAAAATTTGAAATACGTTAAAAAAGGTTAGACTTGGATATAGGAGATTATACATGAAATGTGATTAGAATTTTATGTAGAATCCGAATATTGAGTAATATACAATTTAAAATAAGCAAGTTGGCATCAACTTCCGGTATAACCGAGAGTGCCACCATCTTGAAAATATTTTAGCTGCCGTTGCCCCATCGACTTCAGTATACTCCCAAATTTTCAAAAATATCATTTGCACACTTTTTGAGAAATCTATCGATGGAGTTTCCGTTGCGACACCATGTATATATATATATATTTTCCGTAACTTGAAAACTGTTTTTCATAGCAGCTAACTCATTAGCCTATACTGTGCCATAATGCATAACACACTAAGGTATGAAATCTGTCTTTGGGGAACATCGACCCATGTAGATTCAGTTTTTATCTAACAAAGGGATTATTAGAATTATTGCCGGTATCTCAAATAAATGGGGAGACATCTTAAACGTTTTTTGGTTTCTCACCCGCATTTTACCATTTTTCAGGACAAATTAAAAACATATTCATAACTATCGGCTCGTTTCACTGTGCATTCTTTTGTGCATCTTGTTTTATGCCACTTATTTATTGATTTGTGCTTTTGCTCTTTTATCGTCTTGCATTATTTTTGTGTGTGTGACAATTTCCTACACCGTTGAAAAGTCAAATGTAAAATCTAGAAAGTCGATGTCACTTAGACAGATTTTTCAAAAACCTTCGACAAGACTGATCATGAAGCTTTGTTAAAGAAATCAGAGCACTTTGGATTCACAGTAAGTACTATAAAATTCTTTAGATCCTATTCATCAGGTCGGAAGAAATACGTACCATACAATGGGTTCAAGTACCGTAGCTTACTCAGCTCTACCTGGTATTTCCTAGGGGTCTAACTTGGGTCCACTCATATTTATACTGTTTATCAATGGTCGCTGTTGAAATTTGAAATGTATGCAATGCTGTTTTGCTGACGACATGAAAATATATCCGCCTATAAGGAATATGCATGATTGATTGGATTGACAAATGGAGTTGAGTAGTATTCGGACTTGGTGCCCTGTCAACAATTTACATCTAAATGCCAACAAGTGCAAGGCTGTTAATTATATTAGAAGAAAAACCTTCATATTTTCAACTATAAGCTGATGGTGTGCTGTTGGAAGGATGCGATAAAATTAGAGATTTGGGTGTTCTTTATGACCAAACATTTGCTCCCCATATTTCTCAAAAAGTTTCAGAACCGCTAAAGTCATTCGGTTACCTTGTCATCAATTGTAGGCGATTTCACGACATAAGGGCTTTGAAGGCATAATATTCTGCATATGTGCATAGTAAACTTTAATATGCAAGTATTGCATAGCGATTGTATTACCAAATGTATATAAACGAAACTGGAGAGGTTAAAATTTCTTCGTATGAAGTCTGAGTCAGTTTATCCTGAGCAAGGAGTTAGCAATGCAGAGCTGTGTGGGCATTTTGAAATTCAAAGCTTAAAGTTCAGAAAAAAGGTTTCATCTGCAATACTTCTTTTCAAATTACTACATGACATGATTGACTCCCCAGATATTCTAGCGCAAATTAACGGGGCTCCTACAATCACGAGCACCATCTGCTGAGGTAGCGGGGGGGGTGAAAAGAAAACGAGGGTGGGCTGGCCCTAGACGGTCGTCGGCGCTACTTTAAAAGAGGAAGGGATGACTGCGGGTGCATACCAAGGTAAATTTTTATAATAACAGAGTCGGATTCCGATTAGCGATCTAGAATGTAAATCGTTACTTATTTTGGTACACAGCAAGTGATCATTTAGTATTTTTCTCCCCTTGTTACTGTTCGTCGATATTGTGTTGTTGAATTGTTGTTGGTGTGATTGTTCTTGAGTGCCTTTTTTATCAAGGCTGATAATGGACAATAAAGGGTCATATGCGACCATTTTAATTACGAATGCAGTGAGTTTAATTCGTGATGAGGTCAACAATAATGTGGAGCAGTTCAACTCTATGATCGCAAAATACATTGGGGTAAGCGAATAGATTATTGCAAGAAGAGGTCATACCATTGAAGATGTGCCGCAGCTGTAGTGAGCCACAATACCCAGCGGCCTGTATATGTGGTCTAAATACATTTGCGTTCTAAGCTTAGTCCAACCTCGCTTATCGCTAAGGTGGAACAAAGACTCAAACGCAAGAATCTTGAAAAGAAACTCAGACCAAAAAAAGCTGATATAAAAATAACTAACAATTCGGATAGCAATTCCAAAGAAAATGAATAGTTTTATGGCGTATTCAATCAAAAACCTGACATTAACTACATTGATTTGGAGGTTGCTAAGCGAACATTTTTAGGGAAACTTGAAAAAAGTGACGACGGGATTTTGAAGATCGAACAAGTCACCAAATCACAGGACTGTACTTTGTCGCGCCTTCATCGGAGGATAAGGTTGACAGCGTCTCGATTTGGTGAAGTTTGTAAAAGGCAGACAACAAGCTCTAAACTTCTAGTAAACTCCATCATATACCCAACAGAGTTTTCTAGTAAGGCAATAAAAAAGGCAATACAAAAATTATTGGACACCGCAGTTCAGTCTTGTGGTCTGTTGATTGATCGCACACATCCATTTCTGGCAGCATCGCCTCCATCTACCTATTACAGTAGACAACAAATGTACTTAATCCAGGTATAAGCTTACCTGTTTATTGCTTTGCAAAAACTACCTAACTGTTTCCTCTTATTTTGACGACATAAGTTATTTTTATGACCCTCATTCAATTGTTACCATGTACCACATGACCCTTGTAAACATAATTGTGTTTACTGACATGAATTAACGAATTTTAATTTGAGCTCTTGAATTTATTTTAGGAAAGATATCAAATTATTTGAAAACATTTTTTCTTATTCGGAACGCACCGTCGCGTCGCTTGGACTGGCAAGACGAAACAGTAGACGAATTTCGCCCAAAAACCGATTTGCACTTAACAGCTTACGTTTCATTTTTTATTATTTCCAAATGAAACTCTTGCAGCATGCTAAAAACAAAGTCCACAGGGTGCTAACAATCCACTTTTTCGATTTCATCGACTAGGATCTTTTTAATATATCAAGAAGTTGAGCACAAATAGTAAGCATTTCAACCCACCATAATTCTTGCGCAAAGGCAAAATTTTGTAAAAAGCTCTGATAGCACCTTAGGCAATTATGTCCTACCTATATCCAGAAAAACATTACAAACTGCAGAACACAAATTGAAGGTAACGGCGAAATGGATGCATTTCACGCGTCATGAAATTCAAATGAAAATGCAGGTATAAAATCTACCAAATTATTGTTCTCAAAAACATATTTCCTTGACATATCGATAATTTTAAAGTTCCACTCTAAATTCCCCTATACTTGACTGGAGTGATATCCGAATTCATTCTTCCCTACTGTCGGCAGTTGCAGATAGATCTGTTGGCACTTGTTTTCACACCTATAGAGCAGGTACCGATTTTTTCAAATCGTGAGCACATTATTCGTCGGATTTTCGTTACTTAAATTTCCTGTAATCACTGGGATCAGAAGCTTCTTAATAACAGAACGTGTTTCACTGATATCAAAGGTGCAACCCCCAACCTCCACTTCTTAAGCAGTACAATTTTTTTCTTTCAATGATAAGGAACCTCTGTAACGTCAAAAACGGAGTTTCAGCAATTGTTACTTTTCCTTTTTTGCCTATAGCACCGTTGCCACTGGACTAAAACTACAAAGCTTTGGCATACTAGTAACCCCGTGTGGAAATTTCATAAAAATCCGAGCGGTTATTTCCAAGTTGATGAGTGATACAGTTGTTCGTGATGTAGATGTCATATGACTTAAAAAAAACATAACAACTCATTTTCGAAATTTTTCGCGATTACAATACTTCCTCGCCTGACGTGGGAAGTAAAACGGCTTTAGAATCGAGGAGTATCAGCGATCACGACTATGAGTACCTATTTGCAGAACGACTTATCTACGCGATATTATATGAAATAGGGCCACCAGATTATCTGAATACGTCCTTTCTTAGTTCGTACATTGCGCCCCAACGCTTGGGTTGGCAGCACGAAGCAGTAGACAAAATGCGTCCAAAATACGATTTGTAGAGGTTTGCGCGCTTCAAAATTGACGCTTTATTTTTTGATATTTTTGGATGAACTTTTCACCGAGTGCTGAAAACAAAACCCCACAGGGTGCTATAGAACAGAAAAAGTGCGCACTTCAACCCATCATAAAACTTGTGCGAATTTTTTTTTTCAAAAAGTGCTCCTATAGCACCCTGGGCAATTATCTTCTCAACATACTGTATGAATTTCATTCAAAAATATTGAAAAATGGAGTGTCAGTTTTGAAGCAGCTGAACCCTTGTAAATGGCTTGAAACTCACTGCGTCGAAGCCGCCTTAATATCAATGTTTTCTTCGTGTAATTATGTCAATTTTAAACCATCTAGAACAATGACCAACGTTTTGGTCAAGTCACCGGTGCATGTTATGTGTAAAAATCCCAATAGAGTTAGCTGTCATTGCGATATATTTATATTTTCTTAGTGTAGTAATTAGGATAACTTACCTGAATACTTTAAATAAATTGATTATTTTCTTTCCAAACTCTGTCGTAGACTATTAGTTTATTTTTTCATGTAAATGGGTAATGTTGGACAATAAATGCTATTATCATCATTATTAAGGCAGTCGATCAACTGTAGCTTGGTGGTTTCTCAAAGCAAGCATCCCACGGTCTTCCAGAAACACTACGTAAATGCGCAGCGGACTTCATTTCTAGTCGTAAGATATTACCTAGCTTGTTTTGTATTTATATAATATTATACATACCAGCGATTAGGCTCTATTCCATTTCTTGTTAGATTAAACCCGTATAAGCTCAGCCGAGTCTCATTACCATCTTGATATATGAACGATATGGTGTGCTGACCTCCAATCTTGAATACTTTCATGGTGTTAACTTTCTTATTCTCCGTATTCCATGACCAAAATGAACTCTAAAACATTTATACCTATACACTATTACTGGATTGTTCTATTTTATATCCACATAAAAAAGAAGTAACTAAGGATTTCTCAAAATCTTATTATTGTCTCTAATTTCCGTATATTCGTCTGTCATCTGTTTTGCTTCTGCAAAAATTACAAACTGGTATATTAAGGACTATTTATGTGAGCTACTTCCTTTCGAATTTTTCCGCTTACTCGCAGAAAACTCTTTGCTTTTCTTATGCCAGAAACACCATCTAGACAAACTCAAAAGTTCCTCTAAGGCCTGATTTTTCCAGATGTATTCAAGATTTTCAGTTATGTAGGTCTCCTGATAAGAAATATCTCTCATAACCTGGTCATGTCTATAAAGTATTTAAACTAGGGCGTACCTAGGGGGGGGGGGAGTTTACTTTTAAATAATATGAGTTTGAAAGATCTGAAACGATTTTGGGAAAATTCGTTCCCTTTTCCGTGTGTCTCTGGAGGGTAGAAAATGCATTTTCTAAAATATACAAATACGCAACATTGACACCATTCAACCAACCCGTATGTCCCGTCGTTTCGGAGATCACACTGGTGAAAGTATGACAAACTTGTTTTACAAATCATACTAGAACGAACTAGGTACATATCCTTCTACATATTCTAGGAAACTATTTTCGGCTATATGTCATATACTATCTCAAGTGTTGATTTCAAGTATTGCAAACGACTTGTTACTATACAGGGTGTTTCAGTTTATTGTTGCATAACTTTAAGATTCGATAGAACTTTTAAAATTAATGCATACAGTCTATATAAACATGGGTCGAACAATGCGTGGCTTCCGAAATACAGGGTGTTTAAATTTACTTACTAAAACAGTTTTTTTTAAATATTTCGAACAATATTTGATGTATAACAGTGAAAATTGGCATACAAGGGCGCTCTCTACTGTACCTTTAGTGTATTAAAATGACCGAAACATTTTTCTTAGTGCAATTTTTTGCTTTTTGAATAAAAAAACTGATTCTTCGGACTTTTCAACATAAAAAAGCAATTTGTGAATTTTCGTTATAGTTAGCCGTTTTTGATTTTTAAGGTTCGATGCATTTTTAATTATTTATGATAAATTAACGTTAAAAAGTCAGTATCTCGATAATTTTTAGAAGTAGGCTGTGCCTGCAAATATTTTTGAAATTGAAAGCAGAATAAGGTTAAACGTCAATTAGTTGACAGTTAGTTTTGTTGTCTGTTGAAACCTGAAACGTTTTTTTGCAATTGTGAATGCACGAAATTTAGTTCCTTTTACCTGTTTTTTTTTGTAAGTTTTATAAAAATGTCATTTTTATTCTCCAATCAAGAGTTAGCGGATATTGATTTTGTGTATGGCTTTGTAAATGGAAACGCAGCAGAAGCAGCCAGAGAATACGCACGAAGATTTCCAAACAGACGACATCCAACTCGCTCAGTATTTGTAAGAGTGCATCGCCAAATAATTGAAAATGGTTTTGGAAATCTCCAAAGGGATCAAAGCATAAATGTTCGTCAGCGCAGATTTACCCTTATGATTCTGCGTGAGTTTGATAGAGATCCGACCACAAGTGTGTGTTCTTAGAAATGACCATAGACGTCCTTACCATTTGCAACCTGTGCAAGGACTACAGCCAGGAAACGGAGAACGAAGAATCACATTTTGTCAGTGGATTCTTGATAGAACTGATAATAATAGGGAGTTTTTAAGTAACGTTTTATCGACCGATGAGTCATGCTTCACTAGACGTGGAGTGGTAAATTTTCATAATCAACATATTTGGTCGCATGAAAATTCGCATGCAGTTTGGGAAAGAAATTTTCAGCATGAATTTAGTGTGAACGTGTGGATTGGTATCTACCGTAATCGACTATTTGGACCCTACCTTTTGCCTGCAAGGTTAAATGCTGCGACCTTCTTGGAATTTTTAAAGGCTGAACATGCAAATATGTGGGATGATGTTATGTTAGATTTAAGATTGGCCTGGTTCCAGCTTGATGGTTGACCAGTCGCCTGCCCTCCACGATCCCCTGACCTAAATCCATTAGATTTCTTTGTGTGGGGATTTCTAAAAGAAAAAGTGTACCAGATTCCCGTAACCACAAAAGATATGCTAATAGACAGAATCAGGGATGCATGTGATGAAATAAGGCCTTATTTGAATAATGCGATACCACGTTCGATCATTCGTAGATGTGAATTGTGTATTGAACAATTGGGTCTACATTTCGAGCAACTACTTTAGATTTTGTATGTTTGTCCTAACTATCCAATAGCATTTTAGTTGTAAATAAGTAATTTAATTTGTTAAAAATAATATTGGAAAATTAAACAAATTAATATTCTGTTTTTTGTGTTTATTTGGAGTTAGGAATTATTGCTGTGTTTAAAAACACAATCTAAACGATCATCTTAATTACTTGTAATGCCCAAATCTAAAATGTAAAAAAAATAATATTTTCCCATAAATAATTAAAAATGCATCGAACCTTAAAAATCGAAATATCTCAAAAACGGCTAACTGTAACGAAAACTCACAGGAGAGCTTTTTTATGCAGAAAAGTGCGAAAAATCAGTTTTTTATTCAAACAGCAAAAAATTGCACTAAGAAAATTTTTTCGGTCATTTTAATACACTACAGGTGCAGTAGAGAGCGCCATCTAGCGGCTACAGTAAAACTATGGCCATTGTCGTACCAAAAAACCCTTGTATATAAATTTTCACTGTTATACATCAAATATTGTTCGAAATATTTAAAAAAAAACTATTTTAAAAAGTAAATTTAAACACCCTGTATTTCGGAAGCCACGCATTTTTCGACCCATGTTTATATAGACTTTATGCATTAATTTTAAAAGTTATATCGAATCTTAAAGTTATGCAACGATAAACTGAAGCACCCTGTATATTACGTAAAAAAGCATTTCGCACAATGTTTGCTTAACTGTTCCAAAAAGCAGTCCTAGTGGTTTTCCATATTCATATGAATTCTCAAACCGTCATTTAAGACTGTATTTTCGAGTATAAATGTAATACAAATATACTAAGTGACATATAAATCCGAACACCCAGTTTAAATGGTTTTATTTTAATAAAATTTTGTATAAGTACTTAATGAAGCATAATAAGTTAATGATAAAAATTTCAAAATGATTGCACTGCTTTAAAGCCCTTTGACCGTTAATAATGTGTGGATGCACCCTGATGTGCTACGCATTCTCCAACGCGCCTAGGCATGCTTCTGATCAGGTGGTCAATGTCCTCCTGTGGTATCTCATTCCAGGCAACCACCAACTCCTCTCGAAGTGCTTCTAGAGTCTGAGGAGGACGTTGCAAATTGAGCAATCTCCTACCCATCATATCCCACACGTGCTCAATTGGGGATAAGTCGGGAGATCTTGGTGGCCATGGTAACAATGTGACATCATTATGTTGAAAGGAGTCTATTAGCTATGTCCACACTGTGCCTTTTTTTGTTCAATAAGGGCATGCGCTATAGCGCAGTCAACAGCGCACGTGAGGCATGCCTTTAACGCAAGCGCGATGGCAGTTGAAAGCGAAGCGCGCGCTATGATACACGTTTTCCGGCGTCGGGTGGATGTCTGTGCCTTATAGCGTTCAACAACAAGATGGCGGACGAAGAATTTTTAAAAAGAATATCTTTATCTTCTCTTAGTTCACTCATAATCACGTTACTTCGATTATTATAATAACCTCGTATCCAAAACTTTCTCTTGGTTCTTTTTTTACTGGAATTTCTGATGACCAAGTAAGCTGCACATATTCCACCAAGTAAAATATTCTCGTCGCACATGTTTCCAAATTATGACAGAAACTACGACTAAACTATGGTGTTGCTTTCATTTAACGCATTCACCTATTGTAAGCGTTAAACGAAAGTCGAATTGAAAGATGAAGACGAAAGTTGACGATGAAAAGGTACAGTGTGGACATAGCTATTGTGACTCTTGCAACATGTGGTCGGGCATTATCTTGTTGGAAAGTTGGATCTGCCAGGGTGTCAAGATAGGGTAAAAGATGGGGTTCTAGAACTTCGTGGATATAACGCTGCGCGTTCATGTTACCTCTGATGAAGATTAAAGGTGACCTGGAACCATAAGCTATAGCACCCCAAACCATAACTCCAACAGTGTGATGAACATGTCTTTCAACAAGAAACTGTGGATTCCTCCTTTCACCACGTCGCCTTCTAACCCTGGCACGACCATCGTGCATGCCTAAACAAAATCGAGACTCGTCACTAAAGACAATACTGTTCCATTCCTGATCCCAGAGTGACCGTTATCTGCACCACTCAAGGCGATTACGTCGCTGTTCTCGAGTTAAAGGGAGGACCCAGTGTGGCCGGTATGAAAACCAGCCAAAACTTCTCATTCGTCGGTAAACACTTCGCATGCCAATAGGTCTTCCGGGTTCTGCAAACCATTCATTTGCAATGGACCTGGTAGTGGAGAAACGGTCCCTTAAGGCCAATAATCTTAGGCGGCGATCTTCATGGTCTGTTGTTCTACGGCGGCGTCCAGTGCTCCTTGCTCTTTGCGGACGGCCTTCTCGAATCCATGCCTGACAACGCCTAACCACAGTGTCTACACTTCTTTGCACTCTAACTGCAATTGCCCGAAAAGAAAGTCCAGCTTCCCGAAGTCCCACTATACGGCCCCTATCAAACTCACTAAGTTGACGAAATCGTACAGGTCTCCGTACTCTAGGCATCGTAACCGATCGTAAAGGATGTCAAGAACCAAAATCCGCCAACGTTGATTCTTTACTGCGGCTGAAATATTCATTTTTAGAGCGTTAGTGAATTAAAAAAAAGCAGTATAAAAACCGGAATGTCCAACTTATAAGGCTGAAAATTTTTTGGCTTGTTATTTACAGTAAGATAAATACATTCACCAACTTTTATTAAAATAAAACTATTTAAACTGGGTGTTCGGATTTATATGTCACCTAGTATAGAAAGAAAGATATCAAGCAAGTAGATATAATTTATGGAATAAAAAGTTTTTTTGAAATTGCCCCCCTTCCGTTTTGAGCTGTGTCCGCGCTTGTATCTATGTATCCTCTACAAGGTTGCTTTCCATTTAAAGCGAAAGGTTGTGTAAAAAGAAATGAGAAATATCAATAATAAGATGTCCATATTAACTTTGTTACTGTTTTTGTCGAATCGGGACCGATAGTAATTAAATGGACAATTTCAGTCATTTACTTTTGGTGTAAGGAAAGTCATTTCCAGCTAACAGGGTTTCGTTTGCTGTAGATCCATGAAGCACAAAATGCGATTTATAAGAACATGACGTATTGAAATATGACTCAAAATACTTAGAAGCTAGCTTTACCGCAGAATTATTTTTAATCCAAGACCACACTAGCTGAGGCGAGGTTGAGAATGATGCTATCACAGCTGCTTCTGCTCTACCATTGATACGAATGCTAAGAAGCTCAATATTGGTTGGTGTCCTTCCTAAATCTGAAAAAATATTGTATCAATATGTATAAATAAGTAATAAAATGGAAAACAGTGTCGAAACGCATAGTACGCCACTGTCAAGAGGGCGTGTCTTCGTGTTCAGCGAGATCCGCACATACGTACACAAAGACATTAACAGTGGCATAATTATGTGTTATACTACTCCCTTCCTTCTTGGTACTCCACCATGGCAAATGCTGAATTTTGGAGCTGTGTTTTAATCGTCTTGAATTTTGTTGATAGCGAAGTAAAATGTGGAGAGATACATATCCTCTATTGTGGGAATATGGATTTGGGATAAACAATAATTGAGCTTTGGAGTGCGTCGTACAAGGTCTGTAAATTAAGTGATACTGATTTTTTTTCAAATTTTTTTACTCAAATACAATTACAACTTTATATTGTCACCCTCGAAATTTTTTTTCTGGAGCTACACAGAGCTGGGAACGGTTCTTCCACTCCTCACAGCAGCGCTGGAACTCGGATACTGGAATAGCCTTTAGGTGGTTGGTTACAGCCGTTTGAATGTTTTCGACTGTCCCAAAATGAGATTTTTCAACTTCGGGAAGAGAAAATAGTCACGAGGACTAATGTCAGGCGAATAAGGAGCGGTGGAGCGACTCAAATTTAACTCTTCCCCGATCATTCTGACTGTCAACTGTCGATCTGAACGCACAAGATCCCGGATTCTGACAATATTTTCATCGGTTCTTGATGATGACCTTCCGCTTCGTGGTTCATCTTCAATCGACTCCCTCCCTTCTGAAAATGCCTTAAAACACTGAAAAACTTGTTCTCTTGTCAAAACACTATCTCCGCATGCCTGCTGAAGTTTATCACGAGTTTCCATTGCATTGTGACCAACCCTGAGGCAAAACCTGATAGCACACCGTTGCTCGAAATTGATGTCACTTATTTTTAGAACACAATAGAAAAAACTGCTTCACAAAAAATTGCTACAGATAACCAAATGACTTGAGCGAGTTCAAACTTGTACTCAAGGCGGATCATATGTTCCCCTGTCACCCCTCCAAGCTCGGCGCCTCCAGTGTTGCCAGATCGAACGGTATGTTGCCAGTCTCATCACTTAACTTACATACCTCGTATACCTCTATACCTCTCTCTTCGATACAATAACAAGAGATAGCTAAAGTTATTGGTGTGGCCTCGTATATTTGACCAAAGCCATTGAACAACTGTAAGCCAGGAATTATGGCGACATTATTAGAGTGAAGCACTGACTTACCTATTGAAAAATTATGGATACTGAAACCGTTTAAGGTGGAGTTGAGTATACTGACTAGAATAGTGATATTACTGCCAGCAAAACCAACAGAATAGCATGTAGGACCCGATACGATACTCTTCCATTGTTTGACTGTCGAGTTAAAAATGAAATTTTCTTCAGCTTCTACCTTTGTTACTATCAATTCTGAAACAAAATCTGGTATTAGACAAATACACATCAACAAAGATATCCGCCGATTCCATTTTTATTAAATACGAGTGCACTCATTATATGCGCAGCTTTATCTGCCCCCGAGCCGACAAACACTATTTTGATCTTTTCAAAGAATTGGGTTTCAGGTTGTAGTTTGTAATATACTCATTGGGCTTAAGAGTCATTTCGCTTGACTTTTCATAATATGAATAGAAATAGGATCGTAGCAAGTAATACTACTTCATTTTTGGTATGAACGAAACATAAGCTTAAGTTCATTTCCAAACTTCGTTTTTGTATTTTTGAAGTTTTCTTGATAATTATTTGTGGAATCCAAATGGCTTTTTAAACGTCAATATTTCAATATTCTTACTCAAAATTTGGTTTCCTCTGTTTACTTCCTCGCAAATCGCGAAAAATTTCGAAATTGAGATATTATGTTTTTTGGATGTTATATAACATGTACATCACGAAAAACCATATCACTCATTTCCGTCGGTCTGTGTGTCTACTAATTTTATAACCTGAGACGTGCTGCTCGGATTTTGATAAAATTTTCACATAAAGTTACTAATATGCCAAGGATGAAAATCCTTTACAGTTTTAAAAAATTGATCTAGTGGTAGCGGAGCTAGGGTCAAAAACGCGAAAAAAAAAAATAAAAATCGCTTAAAGTGACGCACTGCTACAGGAGAAGTATTTAAATATTCTTGCAATATTTGGATATTAAGAGTACGTACCACCTTAGCGTTTTGCGATACTTTTGTAAATGATGACTTAACTGTATTTTATATTTTTCTAAGTTTCATGATCCTTATATGTACCACCCATTTCGTCTACCCTTCAATTTGTGTTACTCTGTCTATGATGGTTGTCTGAATATTTCGTCAAGTAAATTGATTCAGTACAGACACGGGCTGACAAACAAAAAGCAACACAAAAACTTGAGATACGAAGTACGAATAGTATCGCGAGTTCAATACTTCGTTTAGGTAGTAGAAAATTGGTTGAGAGTCGGTAGAAATAAAATCGCTAGAACTTGTTGTTGCGTTTCAGAGATTCCCGCTTTTTTTCAGGCATTGTTTGGCGGGGATGAAAATTGTAGTATGGAAGATGTATGCGGTAAATGGTTGTAAATTGTTGCATATTTGGTGTCAGTGAACGACCTCCTACTATTAAGCAGCTGCTGATCTCAGTGATAGTATGCACCTGTTAGACATATTAAGACACACATATTTTCCCTTCATCTACCATGGAAACATAAATATGATTTGCTTCGTATAGTTTGATATCCAGAGGTGGAAGATTTATCGTACTTAAGTGAACCTACCTAATCACTATTCGATTCCGCCTTTTGAAACGATTTGACTAATCAGTTTTTTTTTGAAACCTCCAACGAATGCGTTGGAAGTCAGTCTACTCGACGCCATCTCTTAAGTCACTGATCGCTGCAAGGCATAGTCAGAACAACTTTTAAGAGCTCAAATATTCTTGAATTTGCTAAGGCTGTTTTTTTACTTACATATCAGTAAAGATACTGAAGCAGCTTTTCAACTGTGTGAATCATTTTCAATTTATATGTTGTTTAAAGACGTGAATGCGTGGGAAGTACTGTGGAAGAGTGTTAAATCCCGTCTTCGGTACGTAGGTATCTGGCGCCCATCGCGGAATGGTTCAAGAAGCACCACAAGACGCTTAAGGAAAAGCCGCTTGTACGTTTTGTCCACTACGGAGGTCCTAACTGCCGGATAGATTGGGTCTGATATAGGCATCCAACGTCATCTTTGCTATGACCCAGCATCTGGAGTACACCGTGGAATAAGTACGCTTACCCCTAGGGAAGCACCACCAGATGCCTTTGTACGTCTTGTCCGCTATGGACGTTCTAACTGCCAGAGCGATTTAGACTGACATTGGCATTGTAGTACCCTCAAGCCCCATCTTTGGTACGCCCCAGCATCTGGCGAGCACCGCGGAATTCGAGTACGCCTACCGCCATCGTAGTACCACGAGACCGCGGTCAACCGCGGCTACTTCGTCAAAGCTCGGCTTTCTACGTCAGATAGTACCATAATGATCTCTTCTTGTATTCTTTCATTCTTTGTGATATGGGTACCACCTGTTCTCAGAATGTAAGGAAGTCGATAAGATTCTGGTTAACCCGTGCTTTTTCTCATTAGGTATTCTCGGTCAAAATGCAATTAGGCTCTCTAATGTGTTGTGTATGGTGAGCTAGTGAGGTCGTTCCAGAGGTGATTGCCCCCAGTGGTACTGCCTATGAGGATAGATGAACTAGTATTAGAAGTTTGATGCTGTAATTCGAGCAATGCTGATTTTTTGCTTTCACTTAGTTACTAAATGGGTTTCTTAAAATCTGCGGTAAGTATCTACTAAGTGTATGAATACGTATAGCCAGATTAATACTCACAAAAGGTATTATTCATCTAAGAATTACAGATGAGATGAAATTGAAAAAAGACCATCAAGACAGCCGAAACACCGCTGATACTTATTTTATGATGATTATAATTTTTAGACAATCAAAACACGTTATAAAAAGTTGTCAATCAAAATTATGAACGGTATTATCGCAAAGAATAGAAAATTAAGTGAATTTTCAGTTAACTAAAAATGCCTTCATGTTCTTGTGTAAAGTCAGTGCTCTCTCAGCTTTCTTTTACGTAGGTGTAGCTTTTCAGTCCGCAAACTTTCATTAGTAACAGCTATCACATATGATTTATTAAGCTTTCAGCCAATCGTTTTTAATGTAAAGCAGAATGGAAATCGTGCACTTATAGTTAAAACAGAAAAAACTCCCTTTGTTACTATTAGAGCGTTTTTAACTTTAACAACTAGTGCCAATTTTTCATGTGTGTGAATATAACTAAGGTACAAGTTCTTATAAATGTTTTCGCTTCTACAGTTGGACCAACAAGTCTTATATGTATAGTATGAATTTTGTAACAAAATCATCCCACACTTCACGGATCATGTACCATGTACAAAATAAAGTAGTATGAAGTAAGTATTCATGGTCGTTAAGTGAAGGACCTCGTTACTTCATGCTTAAGCGGTATTCTAATCGTTGGATAAAATTATTTCCACCATAACGAATCTTATGAAAGATTTAAAAAACTCAGGTACGCAATAATTTGAGAAATACGATTTTTTTGCCTCTAAACCAGGTCGTTCACTGAATTAAAATTTTGGTCCTCAGACATCCATTGTCTATAAGGTTTTTTGATGTACGATGTTTAGAATTTTGATGGATGTGTAATCTTTAATAGTCATCAGGTGAACTGGCGAACATGCTCATTTCTTGCATATTTATACAGTTTGATGACGTGGCCGGTGGTTGGTTGTCACGTGCCCCTTGTTCCGTTTATTTATTTTACTTACGATCGGTTGCTACACTGCTTTAATTTCCATTACTGTAAACATGTTCATCCATTGATATGAATGCCGATTTGTAGAATTTTCTCCGATGCCAGTGTGCTTCTATGTGAAATATTTTAGCAAAATCCCAAAGTATTCTGTTGATCTTTGTTAAAGCCTGATCTGCTATCCCAGATTTATTTATTTCTCTCCGTTGAGTGTTGAATGTTTGCTCGTCTTACTGAAAGTCGTGTTCTTGTTTCTCATATGTCTCTCCGTATTCACATGGCATCTGGAAGATACGATCCTTGATATTCTGATTTTGTCCATAGATTTTCGTCTTCCTATAATTTGATCATCACTTGTTCCTTCAACATATGGCAGAATAAGTGTCTCTAGCGGCTCATTTCGCTTGTTTTTACTGTTGTTGGCGTTGTTTTCTTTAAGAAGTTCATTCATAAGTCGTCTTGTGTAGCCATTTCTTACTAAATCTTCTGCGTTTGATTTTTTCCTGGAGGTTTGTTTGCGTGACATAGACGTTCTTTGTCCGGTCGAATATGGTTATAATAACGTGTTTATTCGTTGTTGCTGGATGACTGGAGGTAAAATTTATAACCAACAACCAACCACTGACCATGCCATTGAACAGTGTGAATATGCACGAAAGGAACATGTTCGCCACATCACCTGATGAATAAAAATGCTTGTAGACTATGGAAGTCAGAGGAAAAACATTTCAATCATCCACATTGATTTCAATTTTTAAGTAACAGTCAGGTGGTTAACACTCTGTACTACGGTCACCCCGTATATAATCAATGATCATGATGCTATTTATAGCTTAAATGCTGTCTCATTTCTAGGTATTTTATTGTACCATTCCATATTTGGGTATGCTAGGTATCTGAGTATTTCACATAACATCTGGGAACGTTTATCGTCGAAACCTCTAGACTGTAGATGATTTAACTGCTTTTTGGTTAATTACAAAAATCAGTTTTATCCCCTTTTCTAATTTCTCTGCATTTTCTTGATCCAATTTACGGTAGGATTTTCATTTGTCTAAATGGTGTTTATAAACGATATAGACAATGATAGTCATTTTGGTTCATGAGCTTTGAATACTTTAGAGTGTTGTCCTTTAGCAATACTTCCTTAGCAAGTTCCCCCATTTCTTTTAGTGGCTGCTGTTCTTACGGGTTTGTCAATCCTGAATTAAATAAAATCATTGCTTTCTGCATTTTTTAAAACCTTGCCCTTCATTATAGGGCCTCAATTATTTACCAGCGCCAATTTCCTGACGGTCTGCTAGTATCATTTGAGAACAATGTTGCCTGTGTAACTCAGTGATTAAACTCTAGTCCTGCTTTCATAGTATTTGTTGAAGTCCTTATTCTCAGTTCACCTTGCTCCGACCTAAACTACCCACAACATTCGAAGCTTAACTAACAAAAAAAAAGGTTTTAAAAAAGTTGTACAAATGCTAAATCATTCATTTTATCTTATGCCATAAAAGAGTCAGACGCTATTGGTACCACCAAAATTGGAGTAATCGTGCCCAAATCATAATTAGGTCCCGATCATTATCAATTTTAGCAAACGCTTCCAATATGGAACGATGATTGTCCAGGTTCTCTGTTTTTATTCTCATAGCCCAGGCTACAGAGAAAAAAATAGGTATTTCGTGTAAAAAGTTTAGCAGATATCTGAAAGTTTTAAATGACAAATACCTAAAAAGATACAGTCAGATATGCGTAATTTTTTATAAGCAATGGGAAAAGCCCAAAATTCAGTATTTTGCTTGTATAATTTTCAAATTAAATTTTATAAATAATCGGTAAACTGGGGATGCTAGAGCATAAAAAGGCCTTCAATTTTATTTTTTAAGAATTAAAATCGATACAATTAAGCTAAATCCGAGGCTTTTTAGCAGTATTGTATAGATGTTTATAACTATTGCAATAAAAACTGTAAATGGCTAAGAATTTGAGAAAATGAGGGCATCATTGGTGCTAAATTTGTGCTAAATTTCAGTTGAATAGATTATGAAAAAGGCGACATTTTAATAAACAGTCATGTTTATTCAAAACCCCTATCGTAGCCCAAAAATAACTTTAATACGTGTTAAAGAATGTAAATTTTGTAATGAGTGGCCTAAAGACTTTGTCACCAAATAAATTGATCTGTGTGGCTTTTGACATTTTTCAGTACTCAGAAATGTAGGTAACTTCTTCGAAATAGAAAACGCATCTGACACAGTTCTGATAGAACAACAGGACTTTTACTCATTTGGCTCCATATCTGTCATTACAAAGAACTTTCCCGTGACAAGAAGTCCGTCAAATTCGATGAAGTGTGCATTCAGACAAACGTCGGTAAAATATACTTTTCTTTTTCTTTAAGCAGAACCTCTTTTTTGCAATAGGACACTAAGTCACAATCTCTTCAAAAATAAATTTATTCTATGAGAATGCGTCATATTTTCTCGATACTGTTTTGATGACCAAATCATAGTTACCCTAAATATAAACCTATTATAGCATTGTTGTCCCAAGCTCTTCATTTAATATGATACATGCGATTTTGGACAGTTATAGGTACATTATAGTGAAAATGCTTCATTATCTGGATTACGTCTTTTACACGTTTTACAGGTCTCTAGCATGTAGTAAGTAGCCAAAGCAGTGTGTACCGTTATTCCACAACTGACAGTTGTTGATATTCAGCAATTCAGATATCCACAATTCATTAGCGCAACTGTTTATTTATTTTATAACTATTGCAGAACTGGTCTATGAAGTTTTTCTGGTACGGTCGAAGTAATTTCAGCATAACAAATTTAACGAGATGTAAACTAGTATGACTACTATTTCAAGCTAGATATGCTAGAGAGTTGAAACCAATAAAGGTGATCTAATTCTGCGTAATGCTACAATGTATGTAAGTCATTGACTTAAAGTTCTTGACACTGTGAAGGATTGCTCGCTTTAAGTATCGAGGTCCATATACTTCTATTTTAATTCTGATGATATATTTACTGGCTTGGTGAGTTACCCCATAATGCTTGTTAGTGAAAATTAGACATATTAGAAATAATTTCGTTTTTTTTAAGTTCAATAAGAGCATTTTTAAAGTGAAGCTTACGCCAGAAATGAGTAGGTACAAGGTGTCGTTGGAAATAAAATATAGTCATTAAGAAAATAAATTATGTATGCGCCGATAAATAATACATTCACGTAATGTCTAGACAATAATTTGCATTGTTATTTGTTTTCATAACATAACGCGGCATCCGTATATCTACAATGGAGAATTATTTGTAGAACAGACGTTATACTTAAGTCTTTAGGAATGTTGATTAGGAAACTACCAGTAGGTGTTTTGAAGATATATTTCAAATGTCTATTAAATGATTTGACATGATGATGATTTTTTATAGTTTTACAGTTCTATGCTGACCTCAGAATTTTATTGTCTTGATCTTCTGATAGGATAGACTTGGGAAAGATAAAAGGATTCTGAGACCTCGACCTCTATTTGTAATTCTAAACATTGTTCATAATTAGAAATTAAATGTGAAGCTTTTTCATCTACATTTTCTATAGGGTTGTATACAGTAATTATCTCACTTTTGTAATCTTCCGCATTTCTTAAGCAGTTCAAGATGGGATCGATCCTCCTTGACTGATTCAAGAATCTGTTTGATAAAAATTAGTAGCATTACTTGATATGCACTGATGATTTGGTGAAGAGCACAAAGCAGTGCTGTCTGCTGTTGGTCATGGTTACAGAGACGAAAAGAAATAACATGTCAGACAGATTTGTCTGATGGCTTGAGGAGTTCAATTTGTACGAGAGAGAAGTTTGTATAGATACATATGTAGAAAGAGATAGAAGCCGCCTGGATAGCGAAGCTCATCTTTGCATAGCATAACAACGCTGACGCTGTTGCGTTGCCAGTTTGTTACATCAGTTCCTTGAATTAAGATGCACATAGAAAATATGCGTTGGTTAATTGTTCACACAAAATAATGGTTTTATTTTGAGTGTACACACTTTTGAATTGTGAATTATGTCGAATACGTTTAGGATTGATTCCCGATCGGCCCTAACGGCACTTCATTTCAGGTAGAAATGAAATCTCAGGATCGCCACAAATTCTGCAACATTGTATCATTGGTTCGTTTAATAACACCGCATTTTGTACATTCCAAGGCAAGGTTTCCACCTCCATGATCATAGTTGAGCGATTTTGGTTAGTACCTAAAAGAAAACAAAATATTAAGTTAAATGTTCGAACAGACCTTCTCTTTGGGTTTGACCGTGACCCAACTTATTGCAGCAGCCTGTGCTTTCTAGTATAACATATTGGCAACGCGACCTTCTGCATCACCATTGCTAGGCTTCTATCTCTTTCTAGCATGTGTTGATACACGCTTCTCGCGCTTGTCTCTCGTACACATTGAATTCAAGCCGTCAGACAAGTTTTGTTGTCCCTGTATATGGTGGTTGCGGCATCTATCTGTACATAGAGGAGAACGTCAAGCAGTACTACTACTCGTCGTTGCTTCTCAAGGAGATCCGGAGGACCTTGGCCTTTAGGTCATAGTCACTGTAATGTCAGTGTAATGGCAACGAATCTTCAATGATCAAGAAACTTAAATTTCCGTGAGGGGGGTTAAAATCCCCCCATTTTTTGATGAAACTATGTTTAAGATTTGTTTATTATATTCTAATATTACGTATTGGATTTGGCTTTGTTGAAAAACAAAGCATCCTCCTCCTTGCTTGCATTGGGGATTACTGACTGAACGGATTTCACCAGCCCTAGGTAGTCATTCAAAATGGTGGACCTTGTGGTAGCTACCGATATGCAGCGCCATCTATTGGAGAGTAGCCGCTACCAAAAAGATTCGTTCAGTTGGGCTACCATCCCATAGATGGCGCTTCTTTGTAAAGTGCTATCACAGACCTCACAAAATTTAACTAGTCAAAAAGATCCTTTAGGGGTGGTTGGTCGGGGTTCGAGATGGGTTTATGGCAACGAATCTTCAATGATCAAGAAACTTAAATTTCCGTGAGGGGGGTTAAAATCCCCCCATTTTTTGATGAAACTATGTTTAAGATTTGTTTATTATATTCTAATATTACGTATTGGATTTGGCTTTGTTGAAAAACAAGTCAATGTCAAGTAGTTATGAGCCAGAGACGTTGGAGTATTTCTGTCATCTTCGTTGTTTGGGTTGAGGATAAAAATCAGCTTGGCAAGCAATTGGTAGGTGGAGATCGCCGTACTTCTTACCTATTTGTACACAAATTGGAGTTATTTTCGAGAAATTTGTTCGCAATGTGTAACGATTTTCTGGAAATCGTCGTAGGACAAAATATTCTCCAGGAAACACTCTGTATATTGTGTATTTTTTCAGATTGCTGGCAAGATGTTAAATTGCTTTTGTTCTAAAGCCTACCCTGTGCGCTGTAAGATCGTATTCCTGGATGAAACAGAGCTGGTGCACGAACTCCCGAACAACAGCATAGGACAAGAATTGCTGGATGTTGTATTCCGTCATTTGAATTTGTTAGAAACAGCTTATTTCGGGCTTCGCTATCTAGACGAGAATGGGCAAACTCATTGGCTGGATCCCACGAAAAAGATAAACAAACAGATTAAAGGGGCTGATCCATTCACGTTTTATTTTGGTGTGAAGTTCTATGCTGCAGATCCATGCAAGCTGTTGGAGGAAATCACCAGGTACTTTGGAAAAATAGTATGTAATGAAACAGCGAGAGGCTAAAAAGAGTTCCCCTTTTACGGCAGTAGATTTATCAATATCAATAAATCACTCAATCTGTAGGCGAAATAATGAAAACCAAAATAAATCATTTTTTATAGGTAGTTGATTTTCTATTAGATAGGTATGAAAGTTGAATTATATATGAGTTTTTGTCATAATTGCCATTGTTCTAAATGATATTATGGTTTTTAAGCATACCGGTATAACCAGCTTTCGTCGATATAGTGTCAAACTTTTAGTAAAAAAGTGCTGCCTTTTACTTCCCCTATAATGAGTAATACCCAGATATTAAAAAACTACTTTGGCAAGTGGTAAAACTCTGTATTAGCTATAGTTGCTTCACTAAAAAATCCAACATCACCTACACAGGGTGTTTATTCGAAAACTTCCTAGAAAAGACTTATCAAGGGGGACAACTTTTTAACCAAAAACTGCTTCACCCCGTTTCACCCTCTGCCCCTTAAACAATTTAAGTGACAAGGGGTATTCAGTAATAGCTTGTTTGAAAGGTATTTCGAAGTCCTTTATTTTGACGTTAGATTTTTTAAAATCCGTTGTTTCGTTTTCAAGAAAATTAGGAATTTCTTTATCTTATTTGTGCAGACAGAAAACAAAAACACACGAAAATATCACTTTTTATTCCAATAAGTGTTCAAAATGTTGCCCGTTATTGGCCAAACACTGATATAGGCGATGATCAAATTCCTGATGGACATTTTCAAAAACAAATTGTAGGATATCACGGTAGCTTTCGATGATGCGTGGACGAAGTTCACCCAAACTTTCAGGTTGGGGAGTAAACGCAATAGATTCCAAATGGCCCCGTAGAAAGAAGTCTAATAGCGTAAAATCAGCAGATCTAGCAGGCCATTCTATGGGTCCTCTTCGCCCTATCGATATACCTGGAAACTCGTCGTCTAGTCATTGCCGTACAGAAAGAACATAGTGAGGAGGTGCGGCGCCGTCTTGCTGAAAATATATTTCAGCCTCATCAAATATAGGGTTTCCATCCTTTTCGATTTGGTCTTCAATGGTTTCAGTGATAATAGGATTGATGGTATTTTCCAACATATCCAAATAAATGTCTCCATTCAAATTTCCACTAATAAACAACTGCGCAATCACTTTGCTTCTTGAAATGCCTGCCCTTACATTACTTTTTTGAGGGTACTGTGTATGCCCTTCTACAAAAGCATGAGGATTTTCATTGCTCCAGTATATGCAGTTATGCTTATTACAAATTCAGTTAGAAATCGCTGCAGTCATTTGTTCACAAAACTCAACTCGCATATCGCAATCATCTTCGGTTAACTCTTGCAATATTTTCATTTTGAACGGATGAAATTTAGGGAGTTTAGTAACTTTGTGTACAGAGCCTAATGAAATACCAGTCGCAGCAACAATTTTGCGTAAACAAGGTCCAAAACATACCTATGCAAAGTTATCTTCCCCGGATGTCTGGCGTTAAACGTGATGGCAGGTTGCCGAGCACATTAATTTTGGCACCACAAATTCGAATAATTTCCACACTTTCGGCTAGTGTGTAAATCACTTTGGAAGTAAAATCCGAATCAAATTAATTTTCCCTATCCCAAGATTGGCACAAAGGTAACTGACAGCAAATGTACTTCTTTCTTCCCCTTAGAAACAAATAACTAAACAGGTATAACAATAAATACAGTTCGCCTAGGACAGTGGTTCCTAACCTTTTCAATGTCACTACCCCTGTGAACAAGTATGGGAATTGAGTTTACCCCTAGCCAATTTAAAATAATTAAAACCACACAAATTCGAACGAAAATATGTTTATTATCTAACTAAATTCTAAGAAATTGCACGTTTAGGTAACTAGTAAAGTAAAGTAATATGTAAATCTTGGAGTTAACTAGTGTGAAGGTTGAAATTGCTTTGCATTCGCAAGTTTGACAATATTAGGTTCGGTTTCACTCAACGCGCATCTCATGTCATGCTCAACATTCAGACGGTTTCTGGCTTTTGTTTTTAATGTAACAAGAGTTGAGAAACCAGTTTCACATCTGTAAGTTGTAGCAAATGGAATCAACATTTTTAAAGCTCTGTCAGCTATAATGGGATATTCTGCAGCTGCTTTTCGCCAAAATGTGCTTAGTTTATCATTTTGAAAATCAACTTTCAATGAGTTATTCTCACGCAGCCCGAGAAACTCTACTTTCGCTGACACATCTTCGTCCTTGAAAATATCGACGCAAGTAGAAAATGGTCTTAAAATCCAGGAGTAGGACTCACGACTGTCCATGTTCGGAAAATATTGCTGCAGTGAGTCTATCACGGCAGTTAAATGTTGAACCACGGAATTTTCAAACGAGATTTTCTCTTGTTTATTATTTACTAATTGCTCACTTAGTTGTGTAAACATTGACACATCACCAGCTTGAACTCTGCGTTGGTAAAGTTCCAATTTGCGCAAAAAACTTGCGATTTTATCCTGCAACGTCAAAATATTCGTTTCATTTCCTTGCAGTGAAATATTCAGACTATTAATTTCAGTGAAAAAATCAGCAAGGTACGCCATTTTTAGAATAAATGTTTGGTCTTTAATTTTTGCATAATATTCTTTTTCTTTTTGTGTTCTCTGATTTTCAAAAAACAATCCAATTTCTTCTCGTAATTCGTAAACCCTACTTAGAACTTTGCCTCTTGATAACCAACGTACCTCTGTATGGTACAAAAGAGCATTAAATGTAGCACCAACTTCATCGCACAAAACTTTGAATAATCTTGAGTTAGTAGCGCTGCCTCGAATATGATTAACAATTTTTACTATGTCACTCAACGTGTTTAGCAAATCTGATGGAAGCGTTTTCACAGCCAAAGCGTAACGGTGTATCAAGCAATGATAGCCGAAAACTTGAGGAGCAACTTGCTTCACGAGTGCCTGAAAACCAGAACGGATGCCCATCATGGAAGGTCTGTACAAGTACCAATCAGCTTTAACCAGTCTAGGCCATTTTCCTCAATAAACTCTTTTAGCGTTTGAAATACGTCTTCGCCGCGAGTAGTAGTGGGCAAAGACTTGCAGAACAAATATTCCTCCTTTACATCATCATCTTTAATGTATCGTGTAAACACCAATAATTGTGAACACGAAGCAACATCTGTGGACTCGTCCAACTGCAGCGCAAACATATGACTTTCCTTTATTTCAGAAATAACGGTTGCTAGAATATCGGCACTCATTTCACATATGCGACTTTGAATAGTAGTGTTTGAGAGTGAGATTTGTTTAATCTTAGCTACATGTTGCTCACCAATAACAAGTGCTACTGCATCTAACAAGCAAGGTTTGATGAGGTCCTCTCCTATAGTGTGTGGTTTTTTATTACGTGCGATGCGATAAGCAATTTTGTATGAAGCTTGAAGGCATGATTCATTTGCTTTCTGTATATTGCCTGTTGAATCCATGCGGGAAGACTTCAGAATCCTCTCCTTTTTCTTAAAAAAATCTATATTTTTATCTGCGAACTCCTTGTGAACTTTAGCAAAATGTTCTTTTAATTTGCTCGGTTTCATGCTTTCTGGATTAAGCACTTTATTACATAAAACACACTGAGGCTTTTCTATATTTTTGTCTACGATGCTTGTGAAACCCCATTGTAGAAATGCTTCTTTATAAGTGCGCTTTTTGCCAGATGAAGTAGAAGCCATGTCAAAAACACCTGTAGGTACCTAAAACAAAAATCAACTAATACATACCTACGTAAACAAATCACTCGTGACAATATTAACGTGACGATATTAACAAACACTGCTTACCTTTGAATTTAAACCGTTTAAAAATACGATTTCTGCAATGCGCGGCGGAACAAATAAAATGCGTGTTCTTCCTAAGCTTAGGTAAACAAAATGAACATCGCCGCCTGTCCGGCCCGCCGCTAGTCATGCTTCACCCCTCCCACACCGCAGCTCACCCGCCGCCGTCGCCGTCAGCCGCGCGCATGAGAGCGCCGTGCTACCGTTTACCGTACTATTATTTTGTTTATTGCTATTTTAATACTATTTCGTGCCATCCCGTGTTACCCCCTTAGAATCTCCGTTTTACCCCTGCGGGGGTAATTACCCCCAGGTTAGGAACCACTGGCCTAGGATATCTGTGTTGATGAAAAGAATGCGGAACAAAATTCGGGTTGTTATTTGGTTGTTGCCACGTCTAATCTTCCGAATTGCTGTTTATCTTGGTAGTTCCCGTTTTAAATTATGGCAAACTCTAACGGGAAAGATTTTGAACACTTATTGAAATAAAAAGTGATATTTTTGTGTGTTTTTGTTTTCAATCTGAACAAATTAAGATTAATAAAGATTTTTCTCATTTTCAAGAAAACGAATCGACTGATTTTTAGAAATCAAACGTCAAAATAAAGAACTTTGAAAGACCTTTCAAACAAGCATTTACTCGATACCCCTTGTCATTTAAAATTTTGGAGGAAGTGACTCTGGGGGGCCGAGGGTGAAAGAAGGTGAATAATATCACCGTCTCAGGAAGTAGCACAAACTTGACACTTTCTATCACATTCCAGTAGGCTTTAAGAGGAATATTTTGAATGGCTTGCAGAGTATTCCCTTTCAGCAGCGCTAGACTGCCTGGTTTGTCATCATCATCCTTATTTTTAAAAAAACCTTATAGAAAGACGTAAAATTAGGGCCAGATGACATCGCCTAACATGCTTCGCAAAACATTCTTTGTTTCCCTAGCCATGTGATAAGATGCTCTGACATATTGCAACCACAAATCTTGCAGGTTCAGTTGTCGAATTCGAGAAGCTACAAAAATTTGCATTATATTGCGGTAACATTCTTCGAGTGATAGTAAGTCTCTTCAAAATTAAGGTGTGCTGACGCGCTACAAAAGGGCTCAGGATTGTGCTGTTCCAAGAGGCGGGCATTCATGTGATATCACTTTTCATCCGCTAATTCTAACTTTCAATAAGCTGATGATAAATTGGAATAATTTCATTTCACTTCAAAGATTTTGGTGAAGCAAATCAATTTTATATTGGTCTTTAACAACCGTTCATTTAAGCCTCTGTTGACATTTGATAAATATATTTTTATTTTTATTCTAGGTACCAGTTTTTCCTTCAAATCAAGCAAGACATCCTACAAGGAAGGCTTTTAGTACCTTTCGAGCTATCAGCTGAGCTAGGCGCTTATATCTTACAATCCGAGCTTGGAGACTATGATCCAAGACGCCACAGTCCCGGTTATGTTTCAGAATTCCGGTTATTCCCCAATCAAAGTGTCGAACTTGAGATGAGGGTTGCAGAACTTCACCAAACCTTGATGGGTCAACTACCGGCTCAGGCTGAAATGAACTATCTGGACAAAGTGAAATGGTTGGAAAACTATGGTATCGACTTGCATCCAGTTGTGGGTGAAGATCATGTAGAATACTTTTTAGGACTCACTCCAAGCGGAATCATAGTTTTAAGAAACAAAACTACAGTTGGAAACTATTATTGGCCTAGAATAACTAAAATCTATTTCAAAGCTAGGTTCTTTATGTTACGCGTTACAGATAAGAATAACGACGATTGTACGTATGGTTTTGAGACCCCTTCCAAATCAGCTTGTAAGCACCTCTGGAAATGTTGTGTGGAACATCATGCGTTTTTTAGATTGGTTCAAGTTTCTCCCACATCGCCCGATATCTTTTCTCTAAGCTCCAAGTTTAGGTACAGCGGAAGAACCGAGAAGCAGGCAGTAAGAGATGCTCAGATGAAACTAAGACAACCTCCGTCTTTCTCCAGGAAACCTTCCAGGAGATTTTCTAGAAGGTCTACCGTGACTCCTCCCAATGTATCTGAGAGCCCAGAAATAGTGGAATCAACACCTATTCAGCACCAACAGGAAATAAAGCATATCTCATTGCCGTTACCAGCAGACTCTTTCGAAACTAGTTACAATGCAACTGTTCAAAAAACGTATGACTCGCCTCACAGTACTAGAAGTGCACCTTGGTCTCAACCTCATTCAAGAGGGTTATATAATAACAGCTCTGCACCAGCTAGTCCTAGGTCTGTGAGGTCAGGTCGCTATAGATCTTCCAGTGTAGACAGTCAAAGCTCAAACGACTCCAAAGGCTCAAATAAAAGAAGAAGGCATCGCAGCAAAACATCAGATAACGAAAGTGAGCTTTCCAAGAGCTCATCTAAGTCTAAGAGGAAACATCGACGTAGGAAATCAAGGAGTCGTAGGGAGTCAGGTTCTGAGTTTGATCTTAAATCAGAAAGAAGGTGTAGAAAATCAGAATCGAATTACGAGCTCATTGACTCAGGGCAGCAATGGCAAAAAGTCCAAAACACTATTTCTAAGGATGGAAACAGCAACACCATACAAAAAGCTAACGTAATAAGCAACAAAAGTAAGAGTGGTGGTGGGGAATATAGCACTGGTACCAATACAGCTAGAAGAAAAAACCGAAAACATAGATCTAGATCAAGATCTCCAGTTGAGCCAAAACCATGGCTTACGAATGAGCTAAAACAGCATTTAGAATTTGATTTGATTGATACTTCGGGTATGAGTGATGTGCAATTGAAAGAAATTCCTTACACCGTTGTAGAGACAAACTATTCAAAACATATAAAACTGAAACACTCTAATTCATCGAGGAGCGATGAGAAAGCTAAGACGAGTGCAAATACGTCATATCCTCATACTTAAGCTGTTAAACATAACCTTGCAAACTATCGTATTAGACATAACAATTTGTCCATTTTAATGAAAATCTTGTACATACATCATTACTCTCTAGAATGGACTCGTTAGTCAATGTTTATTGAATAATGATTAAGCTTATGTTTCATCATTCGGACTGCAAAAAGTTTGCAAGAGATAAAAGAAATTGGTGGTTTGAGACACCCACCTTTTTATCTTCAGCTTTGATGATTGATAGTAGTTCAAAAACGTTGCGTTTCTCAAAAAAAACAAATCATGCAAACCAACCATTTAAAAATCCTCTAGATTTCCAATCTTGTAAATACTACTCATATTGTAGGCGGCATTTTTGTTTCTTCCTCAACATTACCTCCTTTAATGCCAGAATATCTTTATGCTCGTTTGCACCGTCTTGGTAAGGTCAACTTTGAGCTAAACACAACCTTAACTGTCTGCCAACTTTTTGTTAAATTAGAAACTGCGGGGATATGCAAAGCTCTTCAAAGTTTTAGTAATTCGTTAGAAATAACAATCAAGTTTTACCATGAAGCGTGATGCATTTCACAAAAACAACTGAATGCTTTTTAAGGATGCGAATACGTCAGAATCTTTTTAACCTGATAAGGATGATCCAAAGCAAGTACCAGATGATAGATATTGTATTTACAGCAGCAAATATAAGCCATGTTCTAGCAATAATTTTCAAACGGTTTGCAGCCATCAAATTCAGTTGATCAAAAGAATTGTTTAAAAAAGTCACATTTGGCTACATAAACAGAATAATTGTAAACAACTTAGAACTAGTAAATTCACGCCATATGGTGTATGATGTAAATGCTGGGCAACCTATAATTGTAGATTTAACAAGTGATTTCTCAATTTTACTTTAATTTTTGTCAATGTTTTCTGGTCTTTTATCTCTGAGTATAATTTATTATATTCGATCAACCCTTGATGGAATACAGATTTGTAGCATATGTTATACTTTTTGGTCATTAAATAGAAGTCATCTTTATTTCTGGTATTATGTAAATGATGGTTGACATTTGATGATGTTAAATTAGCTGGACTTGATGGAAATATATTATTTTTTACTTTATAAATGAATATCATTACAAGATATTTGATAAAATTTTTTACATTGAGCCATTTTAATTTGCTAAGCATTTGCCTAATTGGAGTATATTTATCTTTATTCGGTATTATTCGCATGCACTTATTTTGTAAAATTTGCAGTCTTTCAAAAATGGAATTATTTGCTAAATATAGAATAGTCGAACAGTACAAGAAATTTGGAAGAATGATGGTATTATAGATAATTTTTCTGCTATATGAACTCAGACATCCAGAAACTCTCGATAAATAATACGCTTTACTACTAATCTTATTTATAACTTTTTACATATCAAAAATTAATCGAGAGTCAACAAACACCCCCAGGTATTTAAAATTTTCTACGAATTCAATATCTTCACCATCAATATTCAGTTGAACATTTGTACATTTTTTTTCCGATTAACAAGGCTTTCGTTTTACTTGTATTTAATTTTAGTCTGTTAGCTGCTATCCATTTTGAGACAAGTTTCAAGTCTTCATTTATATAAGAGATACCAGACTGAATATTTTTAGTACTTATATAAATGTCATCGGCGAAAATCTGAATTTTGCATTTTTTGACTATGGCAGGTAAATCGTTTATGTATAAAATAAAAAGAAGTGGTCCCAGGATACTGCCCTGTGGAACACCCAACGTATTTTCAATTTCTGATGAAATGGTGTCATTAACTTTTGTAACTTGCATCCTTTTAGACAAATAATTTCTAAACCAATCTAAAACTTCCTGTTATACCATACGCCTTCAATTTACCTAACAAAATATCTCTATCAATCGTTTCAAATGCCCTTTTCAAATCCAAAAATACTGCTATGACAACTTCTTCTGAGTCTATGGCTATTCTCCAATTCTCAGTTACCAACTGGAAAGCCGTTTCTCTGGAATATTTTTTTCGAAACCCTGCTTGGGCCTCCACTAAAATTTTGTTTTCTTCTATAAATTGCATTAATTGGTCATGCACTATGGACCCTAATAATTTTTCAATGTCTGGTAACACATTTACTGGTCTCATATCGCTGCATCTTTTAGAATGTTTTATTTTGGGAACTGGTGTTATTGTAGAGCATTTCAAATTTTCAGGAAAAGGACTGCTTCTCAGTGAACAATTGATCCAATTTAATACAGGATATCCCAAAATTTCGAAACAGTTTTTCAGCACGTTTTTAGTAGTGATTTCGGCACAGTTGTTATTTGATTTTAAACTGTTTACTTTTTTCTTAGATAATTCAATGATACGCTGTGAAATTTTGAAAGTGTATGCAACATTTCCCCCGGGAAACTGATTTTCATATAGTCAGGTGCAGCATTGGCAGTACCCACAATAGCAACAATACTTTCCACAAAATATTCATTTAGTTTGCAATCACCAAAGAATTTGTTTCGGTACCGTTTTCGAATTGAACTTGATTTACACAATCATGCGGCTTCGAATTGATCAGTTTTTTTAAAGTCTTCCACATCTTTACACTGTCGCACTTGTTATTATCGATTTGTTTATCGTAGAATTTCCTTTTTTCTTCTCTAATTACATATACACATTTATTCCTAAGAGTTTTATATACCTCCCAATCATTATTTGATTTTATGAATATACATTTATTGTATTGTTTGTCTCTCAAATTTTGAGCTGCCTTAATATTCTTGTTATACCAGGGTGTATTTTTTGTCGAGCAAATCACTTTTTTATCAGTTGCAAGATCTAAACAAGTTTTTATATTTCCTATTATGTTGTCATATATTTTTTCCATATTCTCACCAAAATTCCAATAGCAGCCAGCAAGTACTCGTTCAAGTTTTTCGTACTTAATAGTATTGGTACCAAGGGCAGCATTGTCCAACTGTGATCACTAACTTTAGGTGTATGTACAGTTTTAATGTCTGCACATTCGAAATTTACAATAACAAGATCTAACAAATTCTCTGATAATGATGTTATTCTGGTACTCTCTTTAATTTTTTGCTTGAACCCACAGTTATTTATGGTTTCTTTCAATTTTCTTGTTTCCATGCTTTTACCATAATAATTTAAATTAAAATCACCTAAAAGTATTATATTGTTTCTAAAATTCCACATTTCTTCGCATTTTTCTTAAAAAAAAACGTTAAAAATGTATCCGCATCACTGTTTGGTGAACGGTAAAAAGTACAAAGATCATAACGTTTCCCAAATAATTTGAACTGTATATGTGCATACCAGTATGCATAGTCTAAAGTGGTACAATCGAATAATGTGATCTGTATTTTGTGGTAAACATAAATCACTACACCTCCAGTATGTCTGGAGTTGGAGTTGCATCTGTAGGTTTTATAATTAGTAATTTGTAATTCACCATCAGTGATGTCTTCTGTAGCATGTGTTTCGGTAAGACATAATACAAGTGGTTTTCTCCATCTTAAAAACTGTTGAACTTCATCTATATTATTCAGGACTTCTTGTATGTTTAAATGGTATATTGAGTTACATTCATCACTTACAGATTTAGCCACGTCTTGCAAATCTGGGCTTAGTAGTTGCTATTCATTTGCATAACTAATTTTTTCCCGCTCACGTTCAATTTTCCTTTTATATACTTCACAATTTTTGTAAAATGGTCCATGATTAATAGGTAATCCTAGATTAAAATCCTGGTTTGCACTTTTACAATTTGGACAGCATTTGTACATTTCACTGGTACTACAGTTTTCTGTTGAATGTCCTTCTAATCCACAAGTAATACATCTTCCTGATTTTGTGCAGTCTTTAGCTGTGTGGTTAAATCCGGTACATTTATAGCATCGCAAAACATTGATGTACTCGAACACAGAGTAAACAGACATGTCGATAAAAATTACACCCTAATTCATAACACAGCATCCACTTCTAAAATTGCTTGATATTTAATTTTTGATTTTCTTGGCTGTAATTACTCTCATATGTGAATTTTCTTGACAAGATTCATTTTGTGATTTTATAGTATTTATTAGCTCGTCTTCTGCATATTCTTCTGGCATATGTTTCTGGCATTTTTGATTTTATTTCTTTATGTAGCTTCGCGTTATCATCTTTTGTTTTACATTGGATTTTCACCCCACCATCTTTCTATTCATAAACTTTTTCAATAGCAATTTTCAAACTGGTAGGATTAACAAATTTTGCGATGTCTTTCTTTGTGTTATTACACTCTTGTTGGTTATTAGGCTTAATAATGACTGTATTTGTGGGTTTTAATACTGGTGATTGTTTTTTTGCTGTACGTGCTGGCAATGGTAAGCATTGCTGCTTATATTCAACCATTGTTGTAAGCGAATTAACGGTTGAAGGCCCTGAAGCTTTAACCATATCAGCGTAAGTTGTAATTGCTTCTTGTGACGGCTGTTGCATCTTCCCCATTTTTTGTTTAATTGGTCTATCTTTTCGTACAAGTCTTTTATTAATTTCTCTTGAATCAAAATGGTATAATCTTTTGGTTTCAAAACTTCCTCTGTACAAAATCCCTTTTCACTCAGTGAGACCACACTCTCCACTCCCTCACTTGCTCCATCCTTTTTAGAGTTGTCCTCCATATTCAAACTAAAAATTCAGGAATCTCCTAAAAACCTTTTTTTAGCTTGACCTAATCTTTGACAGAAGTCAAAAAAGTATTTCCAGAATTAATTTTCTGCAATCTCTTCCGTGTGGGATCTGCAGCTGCAAACAGGTGTGGCGATATATATTTGTTAATCTTCCCGGTGATCCTTGGTTGATATTTTTATGTGTGGTCTTTACCAATATTTCGTGTCTGTGTTGCAGCGAATAAAAAGAGCAAGTGTAGTAGTTAATATACCAAACTAAACAGCTTGTCAAAATAATTACCTTAACTGTTTCCAATTGCCCACAACAGAAAGAAAGAAATTACTTTTAATCAATCTACATACAAGTATAAAAACTTTGGTACGAAAGAAAACAGACAACCAATTCAACTAACTGACTTGCAGTTTCCCTAAAAATTTACGCTACATGCACTTTTGTCAGATGTACATTTATCTTAGTGGTGGAACAAAAACTCAATTTGAGATTGATCTTAACATTCGGATCACTTTTGCTAAATGGTAGATTTGACCGCAACCGGGTCTTGATATTGGACTGCGGATATATCTAGAAAGATACAGAAAAAAATAATAGGTGTGCCCAACATGTGCTCAAATATCACGATCTCATAACCGAGTACGGGCACATAATAACAATCCACAAAATTAGCGAGCCCTAGTTGGTGCCCGTAAGTAAAATGCCCTACTCAATATTTAGCAGCTGTCTAATTGTTGTAAATGAGCTACTAGATCTAAGCACTATATTAATCGAAGCCAAAGGCCATACACAGACATACCACACAAACGTAGAATGATGATTCCAGTCGGTACGTAGCTTATTTTGAAGAAATACTTTCTTAATTCAAACTTAATCTATCTACTAATGTAATGACTGAAAAAATAGAATTACACCTTTTTTATTTTTACTTTACTATTCTACATTCCAGTCGATGTAAATTCATTTTGTAAAAAGTACTCTACTTTTTGTTGGAATTTTCAAACTCTGCCTTATTCTTGCTTTCACACTCTTTGTTAAATCGCTACATGTATCAATAAAAACTGGAACAAAATCAAAGCAAAATGCTCCTTAGTTTATAGTTCCATACTTCCTGTGATATTAGCTTATTATGGCTTATAATTACTGACATTATAACGTATTATATTTATTTAGACAATATAACAGAATTATTATAACATAACATGTGTTTTATTGTGTGTCGGAGGGTTTGGAATTGCTTATATATTTGAAATTTGGCACTGAGAAGCCTGGTATGCCATCTGAAATTAGTTTTTTCCCGAATATATACTTTTCTATTTAAAAGGTAATATTTAAATACAATGGTTAAAATATTTTCGAAAATTTATACAAATGGGAATTTTCTATCCTCTATACGTTTTCATATACCGTAAAATAAAAAAATCAAAATAAATTTGGGTAGCTTCTTTCACAACATGATAAGGTGCATCACAAACGACGAGTATATTTGTCAGATAACTCAGTCCTACCTTACCTGAGAACGCATTACAGTCTGTGGTATTATTTTGTAGTACTACTAAGTTGGTACCTACCCTTATAAACATATACATATCTAGATAATACCTGCAGGTTTCTGCCAGTTTGGTACATATTCAAATTTAAGGTGATTGAAGTTGGAGCATTTGTAAGCAGTATTAGCTGTTTTTGTAACTTACCTTCCCTATTACTTTTCTGGACATTCCTCTGGAATGAAGTCCACACCTGATCCGAACCATATGAAATATGAGTAGTTGACAAAACAAATATAAACATGCAAATTTCGTACATTTTTGTACTAATCGCGAGCAACAGGAGTATTTAAAACATATCACATTGATTTTTGCAGACTCTCAGCTACTTTCACAGTACGTAGGCGACGTGTATTTCTGTATGTGTGAAGAAGAAAAAAGACAGTGTTTTTGTGGAATCTCTGTATTGTGGTCAAAAAATTGTCACATTTACAATACTTCACACGTATGTATTGTTGCGTACCTACATTACTCGACTTTTTGGACTGAACATTGTAGATAGATCACTACCAACAAGGTGACAGCCACAAACGATTGATCTAGTATGTTTCCAAATGAGACACATTTACGTACTCTACCACTTGCAGTAGTGCGCAAATCACTGCACTGCTTATCTTTGTGTGCCAACAGCCACCGATTACCTGAGCTGCTCTCCATTCAACAACGAAATTGGGTTTGAAGCGTAAGAGCTGAAACATGGAGGCCACAGACGAGATGACGGCTGGATTGTAACAAAAGGTTGTTCCGACTTTATTTGTCATTGCTGCCCAAGATCACAGCTGCTGGCTATTTCATTGGCTGATATATTATTAGTTTTCATCTTGCTACCTATTTTCCTTGGTTTTAATTCGCATTTTTGTTTGTTTGAAGGTTTGAATATTGGTTTTTGATTCGTTTCATTCATTTTATTTTCTATTTATTAGATTTTATAGGCAAAAGTATTTTTGTAATTATTGGTGCCTTGCCCTGATCAGTATTACCTACATTACAAAGTAGATGAAAAAAGCAAGTTATTAAAATGAACAGGTATTTAAATATCTATATTTGACTTTTCATTGACTTGAAGCTCCAACTAAAAGGCTGTTGTTCGAACCGCAAGGGGAAAGCAAATTTGTGCTCTGCGCACAAACCCAAACATCATCCTGGAACAAGTGTTTATTGCATATAGGCATCCAGGCGCGCAGGTGCTCGGTTGCTAAAACGACCGGTTGGAAAGCAGCTCTGGTTACTTCTACGGCGTTGAGACATCATGAGTTACGGCGTGCAATTAAGAGTAATATACATGTTTGCTAGGAACAGTCATGGCCCACTCCCAACTGGCATGAAAGACCGATAAAGTGTATACTGTTTTTCTGCCCTAAAGAAACTGATTATACAATTCTTTGCCACATAATCTTCGCAGAATATTTGTCAATATATGATTTTAAAAAATACAACAGCAGAACGTATCACTCCACATTTCAGCAAATATTGGTGTATGTGACTATGAGCAGAGATCAATGCATCAATCTTGCGCTTTCCATATTCTTTAAATGGCGGATAGATCTTGGAAAAATTGGCAGTTTTTTCTACATACATACAGGGTGATTCACAAGTCGTGACCAAAAATGAAATATCATACACAGGACCGCATTTTAAGGGGTATCTTCTATGTAACATTTCATTAAAAATTTCGGGATGTTGAAGTTTAAAAATAAAAAAAATGTTTTAATATCTTCAAAACCGTCAACTGGAATGAACTAGAATTTGGTATGTGGATTTACCTAAGTATTGTCCACATTCAAAAGTCTTTACTTGAAATTAACGTGCACCAATGGCGGATATACAGGGGATGAGCGGCATTATTTTCCAAATAAAAATAGTACGCCACTGTTTTTTTTTTAGAAACGCGCAACTTTTAGAATTTTTCCTTCAATTTGCTATAATTACACTTTTTTTTCCTAGAGTGCATTGTTTCCGTAAAATAAAAAAAAACAAATTAGATAAAGCATTATAACAATAAACCATTCTGACGGATACAGTTGCTGCATCTTTTTAATAAAGAAAAACGTATTTACGCAAAATTATATATACATATACCACATTTTCAATGTAATTCTCTAGAAAAGCTAAGTATGAGCTTGCATTTAGACGTTGTGGCAATACGTGCATAAACAGTTGGCCATTGAAAATGCCGCACTAGACATTTCTAGAAAATCTGTGTTGAAACGAGTGGATTCTTACAGAACGGGGATTTTCTAACGACCAAATATGTTCATTATTTTCATTTTACTCCTCGTAAAATGTGATTCACCTGACTACTCACAAAAATTTCACTGTTGCACTTCGTCACCGGCTGCAGTCTGCCGATCATCCATCGCCAAATTAATCACTTCCAGTTCTTCTTGAGCAGTATACCGGACACCTTGGCCTCTAGCTCCAGGAAGTTTGGCAATTTCATATTGCCGAAGTCTTAGAAATGAACGCGTAAAAACCTTTGGACTAGGTTGGCGTCTGTTAAAAAATCTACGTTGATACTCCCGAGAAGCCGCTAAAGCATTTCCATTACAGAACCCTTACACAAAAATAATATCGGCGTACTCATCGTTGCTAAATACCATTTCACAACACTCAAATGGAAAAAAGAAACTTTTGACTTGACTTTTTCAAAAAAGAAAAAATGGTAGTAGTAATGATAACAACCCTATAACACATAACTTTGACAAACTATCCTTCAAGAAACGTCAAGTTAGTATCAAGGCCTCCTATTTTATTTTGTTCTATTTTTATTTTTACGAAAACAGTGTACTCTAGGAAAAACACAGTACAGAGTAATTAGTTGTAGCAAATTGAAGGTAAATTTCGAAAAATTGCGCATTTCGAAAAAAAAAACAATAGCGTACTATTTTTATTTGGAAAAATAATGCCACTAATCCCCTGTACCTCCGCCATTGGTGCACGTTAATTTTAAATAAGGAATTTTGAATGTGGACAATATTTAGGTAAATCGGCATACCGAATTTTAGTTCATTACAGTTGACGGTATTGAAGATGTTATATAGAAGAGCTGTCCTGTGTATGATGTTTCATCTTTGGTCACGACTTATGAATCACCCCGTATATATCAAAGTCTTGCGATTACCGAGATGTAGACTCGGCAAAATAAACCAAACCTTAACAAAACCTGATCCGTACCTGCACTGCGATGCGCATCAGTACTCAATCCAGGCGCTGGCCACGTTGGTAAACAAAAAACAAAACAAGAATGGCACACCCCCACAGGATCATCGTAATTTTCCATATTATTTTAATTTACGTTGAGAAATGCTACCAAGGCTTCGCGATTTCTTTTCTTATTTGAGGCGAAATGAAATATTTAGTGTGAGTTTAGTGAGGTGAACACAGTTGAAGAACTTCGAGTGCGACTTTAGGAATCTGCTGCATTCATTCAGGAAAGGCAATCCACTCTAAAAGCCTACACTGATGCTTGGTTACGTCGAGCACATACCATACATGTGACATTGAATTTAACGCAGATAATTTTGAACAGTACGTACAAGTGACAGAGCTGTATTTTAAATTTCCTTTCTATGAACGGTGAGTACCTTTTCACTTATTTTTTTTTACCTATTCGCTGTTGTTTCACCACACATTAGCTTTGTTATTACTTTTATTATAAACGTTGTTATTTCTGAAAAGTAAAGTCCCAACTTTCACGACACCCTGTATATTTGACTTCGTTGAAGGATTTATTGTACATAATAATATACAAAAACAGCGCGTAATTCAATAAAGTCCAATAATTACTTTATTATGCATGTGCTCAAAAGACCCAGCAGAAACCTTATGAAGAATGGCTTTCAGCTTATTTTATAAAAACACGTAGAACAATAGTGTAGATGGGACTAGTTTTTCCACCCATAGGTTCCGATATACTGGGCGTCCAAAACGCATCCCATTATAGCGTATTATGGGATTGGTACACAGTATTTAATAGTTCTTTCATAGTAGTTTACGTTATCATCATCCTACTAGCCGATTCACGGAGTTGTCGCGGCTGTCACATGAACAGGCTGTCCCAAACTTGCATGGATAGAGTACAGAGTGCTCTGTAAGAAGATATCTTAGTTTTCAGTTGCTACCTAGTTAACCCATTTATTGATTTGTTTGAGTCAATTAGTTCTCAAAATTACACAATTTATGTTTTTTAAAACATTACCATATTTTCACATTTTTCAATACCAATATCACTAAGTTGATGCTTATTCGAGTGTATTTATGTGGCGAAATTAGGGAAATTACGTTCAAAAATGCAATTTTTTTAACCTATGAATTAAAGTCATCTAGATACGAGTTGACACTTTCATGTTTTGCACATTTGTATAGTGCGTACTGACAATAAACACTTTGGAATCGGTGCTGCAGGACTATTGGCGTTCAGTATATATTCAGTTGTTTTGATCAACTGGTTGGTATATATGTAGGCGGATTTTGGGCGGGCTATATTCTTCACGGTTTTTCAATGAATCTTCCGGTGGAAATCGTTAACAATTGACATCAATCTACAAGAGTGCTAAGTACATTTGAAGTTAGTACTATAACTAAGTACAATGATGATTAAAACGATTTTATTTGTGGAACAACGTATCGTGAGACCTTCTTGATTGTCAGTCTTTCCTGTCTCCTTCAGAAAGGCTGGGGTATTTTTAGTTTTCTACTGTTCCGTGTCAGCGCTCTATTTTGAGGTTATGGTACAAATATCTTTTTGTATCATCTGTAGAAATTTAGAAATACCCCAACCTTTCTGAAGGAAAAAAAATGACTATGAAAATCGAGGCCATACAGTCGTCCTACATTTGTAGGAACGACTGACGATACTGCCCTTAAAGGCGCCCACTCCCCTAACACCTGCATGAAAGTTATACATTCTAAAAATGCAAAACGTTTTTGAGATAATTCAAACCTCAGTCTGAGTATTGCGTGGAGCAAGACGTAAAAACACCAAATGAGTAAATATATTATTTGGCAGAACGAGCAAGTAATAATCAAGATTACAATATCGATAGCTGGGGTAAATATCTATGAACAAAAAATAATATACAACAAGAAAAATTTGCAAGTCTAATTAGAAATCGATTTCAAAGATCGCTTGCCAAAAATTTAATGAACTGAAGGGCACTAAATTCATTACAAATAGTCTAAATGAGAATTTTACTACGTATTTCTGAAAATCTTGCTCAATATATATAAATATATATAAAAATGTCTGCAATTCCGTATTTGATTTCTCATTTCTGCTAGAAACGATAATTCACCGTTACATGTCTTATGAAAAAAGATTACAAAATAACTTTTTTGCGATTTAAACAAGATATTTCGTAAATTGATAGACAAGAGACAAGAGGTCAATGCAGAGGACCATTTCTTGAATTTAAAAAAAGTGTGACGAACATTTCATTTCCAACAGAGCCGTTTCCACAAATAATTAAATATTTTATCTAAAAAGAAAGTTTTTTAGTAACCCTAATGAATGGTCCTTTGCACTTACCTCGCCTTTATCATATTTCCTCTCTTCAAAAATGAAGAAGGAACGGGACTGAGATTTTTCCCATCAAGGATTTTCCACAAAACAAAATTAAAAAAGACACGCAAAGCTCGTATCACTCTTAAGTCATTATCACATATGTCTAAATTGCTTACTTATAAAAAAATAATGATGGATTAACGGATGTGTGTTCTCGTAGTAATAAATAAAGTGAGCCTAGAGCCTGATGATAAGAACTTTTTTTGAGAAAATGGGCGCACGGAAGTCCTAGCGGGCTGTTCCGTTTTTGCTCTAATGCAGAATCTTTATTCTGTTCCTTGAGCTAGGGTGTGGTTTATAATAAAACTCGTGTTAATATTATATTACCTTTAATATATATGACTTGTATAAATGGACATCTATCTCATCTATTTGAGCACAATGATATCCTATCTCAATTTCGTTGTTCTACCATCTACATCAGCTACGTAGGTATACAAACTCTTGTATAAACGCGTTAGTCAAAACATACAAAAACTTTGATTCGCTTACTTTATACATATACATACACATAAGTAGTAATAGTCGTAAATGAGCTATTTGTACAAAACGGGTAATAAAGTCTATAAATATATAAAAATCTACAAGAAAAAAATCACTGTTTTCTACCGCTACTCACTACGCGTTCTCTACTGTCCTCCCTGGTGTTGGAATTTCTTCTCGGAGGTGAATTTCCGGCGCCTACCCTGGTTTTCCTTGACCTCTTGAATTTGGCTACATCTTCACCAAAAACATCACCAGTGCGCAAGGCGGATATCAGGTCATCGAATTCTCCCTGGACAAAAAAACATGATTTTGGGTCTTTGTGATAATCTAATCTAAAATCACACAACGAAGAATTATTACGGTCTATTAGCGGAATAAGAAATACCATTAGTTTTTTCTGTTGTATTGTTCAACATTTTTGAATAATATATAGTAAATCACAAAAAACCACGTACTCATGTGTTGGATAGTTGGTTTGTCGGTCCGTAATTTTACTTCCATTCCATAGTTTCAGCAGGTACTTTGATATTTTTGAAACCAGTCTGAACTTGCTTTATATTTGTCGTATCACCTATAATTTTTTGGCCAAAAGAAACTGCACCATCATTTACAAACGTTTGCTTCTCGAATTCACAGTCATCATTTTGAGAAAGATCCAAAAGATTTGGGCACGAGAATCATTATTTTTTGTGATGTTTAGGACTATGCGGATGCGTAAGTTGATAGATAAAAAGTTGGAATTTTTAAGAGAGCGGTCTCCCAAATATCCCAATATCCTATATTTGAAAACCGTGAAAAAACTAAAATTTTACTCTAGGATTTCCAGATCTCGTAACAGTTGGTTTTATAAAACTTTTTACATTGTAAGGTTATTGATGCTATAAACGGAATCAAACTTCAATTAACCTTTCAGGTCCCTGTAAAATCTTGACTCGCTAGTATTCTACTGGGTGTAACAAAAGTAATGGAATGGGTCTGTATTTTTACAGGTACAGTATAATGAAAAATTTCAAGGTCGAATCTTTACTGTTTTTCGACAAGGTGACCTTGGATGTGACCTTGATGCTGACTTTCAAGGTTATTTTAAGGTCGACCTGTTTTTAAAATAAAATCTATCTATCTGTCTATCTAAGATCACGGTCACCTCTGAAGGTCAAATGAAGGTCAAATGTGTGAGGTTAGAAATTTAGCCGGATTACTGGTGGAAAAAATATTATGGACGTAATGTTTAACGAAAATATCAATATTTCTCTTCGATTTAACCCTGAACCTCGCTTTCAAAGTCATCTCTAGGTCAACCTTTTTTTGTTTGGTGAACTTTTCTTGTTGATACAGACGATGAAAAATCTAACGTTCTAATACGTTCTTATTTATTATTATGACATATTACAGTTTATTTTTATGGTCGACTGAAAATTAACTACATCTGGTTAAAGTAAATTATTACAACGTTTTTCTTATTTAGAATAATAATTTTATAGCCGTTCTTAAAAACATCGAATTTCATATATATAACAAAACAGTTCTCTCAGTCTAATAATTTTTTGGTAGAAAATAGTAAGTACTCTACTCTCTATCTCGTTGGAGGTCAATTTTTATAATTTCTGTTGACCGTAAATACGAGAGCTGAAGGTGACTTGGGGCTATTTCCGGTGCTCTGGTGTAGAAATTTGTCTGCGGCCCACTGCCCGATCCTGTGAATAGTTCACAGGATGAGTTGCGGATTCAAAGGGTGGTGGGGTAGTTTTAAATAAAAACTATTTTATTTAACCGCCTACAGGGTTAGTCCTATGCGCCTGGGAGGAGCAGTTCCCCCATTTCTGGTGAACCTTCATTGTTAGAGGGTTCTACCCTCCAGTTCTACCTTTCAGTTCACCCCCCCCCCTTTTTAAGCTCCAGTTTTAGGGTAACATCTGGGACTTCCTACGGTAGCCGTTCGGAGATTCCAATTTTCTTTTAATTCTAGTTTTTTTAATAACCATTTAGCAAGGGAGGTAAAACATAAATTAATTTGTGTTAGCCTGTCCTCCAGGACTTCTCCTTATTTTTTTTTGTTTTTTCAATGAATGTCTGTGTACCTTGTGAGTTGGTATCTCTTCTAACTCCAGAATCTTAACAGTGATGTTGTTATTTCATTTCCTAGTTTTTGGCGCCCAAATAACCATTGCATCCGCAACCAAAGTAGAAAGAACCCCACCCTGAGGGGGCTCATAGCAACCAACTGAGCTCAAAGTTTATTCGGGATAACAGACCTTGAAAGTGAGGCTCAAGGTCAAATTCAAGATCACTATTTCCTGAAATAAATCTTGTTAAATGTTAGTAAACGTCTGACTCTGATTTAAGGTTAAGTTGAAAAACGCTAATCTTAGCGACACTTCGCCTTTTTTTTGCTTTTACTTAGGTACGAAATAAAGCCCATTTATTATTATTATTACTATTAATTATCAATAACCTATCTAGACTCCAATAAATGTTCACCGGCCTCACAATGTTTTTGATGCATAATTGGACGTTCTTCCGATTGCAGGTATCAAAAAGGGGATTTCTATTTCAAAAATAAACGTTCAACATTGAACCTTGAAGTTAGTGAAGTCCTTACCTTGATCTCTTTCATTTTGGAAAACATACAGCTGTTTTGTTACGTTTATTACCCCCAGTAGATGATTGGACGCTATAGGTATTTTCGCGATTTTTGGCCGCAGGGGTCTTACGTAACTTGGAAAGTGATATTATGTTGTTTTTTACATTATGTACGTTTTTTATGATATTAAGTAGGTTTTCCCACAAGAATGAACTATTTGCACAATACCAGCTCTATTAAACAAGCTGACATTTTATCGCCTGCTGTGCGCCGATGTTTGCTTGTGTGAACTTTCCCGTCAATGTATGAGTTTTCTCTATTTATGCTTGTCACTGTCAGCACGAGACTTTGCTTCTTATGTGAATGTAATTTGTGTTTAGCCATGTTGCTCTTCGATATAAAACAGAGGTTACGCATACGACAGTATGTATTAGAAGTGGAAGTGAGTGAAAAGAATGGTCCTTTATCACAGAATTCTTGTCTATGTGCAAGAGCAAGTAGTAGCCATTCATTTCCACTTTTGGCTTAGCGTCTACGAACCTGGAAAAAGTGTTTACGAGCTTCTGGTCATTTTTGATTGTATCGAAACATTTTTTTCAGGTGGTGAAGTTGAAATTGGTAAAATATCCTAGGAAATCGTTTTTCGACTTTATTCGACCTTCTGGTCACTTTAGGTCGTAGTATTCATTCTTTTAAAGCAAAATTTTATTGGTATCTATATTGCTAGAAATGACCTTATTCTTGCATTCAACACTAAAATGAGGTTTCTGGGCACCTGGTTGCAATTCCGATGTCGAGACCGAGACTTTGTTTTTTAAAACTCATACGACTTATTGCTAACCTTATCGTCTGTGTTCTTTTCACCCCTCTTCAAACTGAGACTCTTGTTGATAGAGCTGAGTATTCCCTCCCGACTGTGCTTCCTCTCCAATGTGAGTTTTTTAAGTTCCGCTTCCTGCTTGGCTCGTTTTTCTTCCTCTTCCTGTCTGCGCCTCTGATTTTCGTTGTCCTGACGCGCTTCTGTCAGCTGGTTCAGGAAGCTGTCAAACACGCCGAAGAACTCGTCGGGTTGTGCGGTGGTTGCATCCTCACCGAATAGGCGGACGGCACGCTCGAATCGGTTCTGGAATAAATATAGAAGTGCCGTTTGTTATTTTGGGCACAAGATCAACAAATAGCAGGATATTTGTTTATACTTGAACTATCACGAAAACCTAAGGCCTAACAGCCGTAGGTAACGTGGGATACAAGGGAAAGGGGGGCGACACACGGACTCTAGAGGGAAGGAACGTGTGTGCTTGCGACATGCACAAATTCTGGTACCGCCTTAGAGATCCGTCGGTTGGTATCTCCACGTTCGACAGTCCGAGACCGTCTTCCACCTACGGTAATTTAAATCCTTTATATCTCATTAGATCGGTCTGTTTATTGATTTTTGAGTACCTACCTTCTGCTCACAACTTTCAAAAACGTCAATGTAATAGTCTAGTTAATATAGCAAACAAATCATAAAGCAAAATATCATTCGGAATAGTGCTTTTATGAGCAGCAGCTTCAAATTCAAGCAGAAATTTTTGTATTGCCTCAAATACAGGGTGTCCCAATGAGAAAGGAAAGTAGTTTTTTGAGCAAACTTGAAAATGTATCAAAAATCTCTTTTTGTGGCAACATTGATATGTTACTAGAGCAAACATAAATTTTTTTCAAATAGAACGCTCTATATTTTATTGAATATTTGAATAGAGCTTCTAAAAACAAGTTTGATATCACATATAGTTTCGATTGTCAATTGCTTAGGTTTATGGTCAAACGTCTGAAAAAAATTAAGATATTTAGTTCACAAAAATTTTCCAAATCATCGATTTTAAGCAGATTTGGAAAAAGTTCTGATATTTATTTCTACTCATACAGGGTATCTCAAAACGCAAATGTACTTTTTCTCAAAAATTTCAAATCGAACACCCTCCATATTTCTACATGTAAAAAAGTTATTTTGGTGAACATTTATGATATTTGGTTTATACAACTTTTTTCCAAACGTTTTTGAATTATTGCTATTAATTTCAAGAAAAACCAAATACATCCGTAAGTAAAAATCAAATCTATCAAATCAATGGCTTTTATAAACTCAACAAAAGTAATCTCAGCCTAACGCAACCAATCGTCAAATTGTTCGAAACTATTACCTTGGTGCCAGGCACACAAGGCCAGATGCCTGTTGAAATTATCTTGCACGTCTAAAAGGGTGCTCAAACGACTCGCTTATACGTTGTTTCATGTCCTTGGAGTGTTGGTGTTTTCTCCTGGTAAACCTCTCCTCTTACATGGCCCCAGAAAGAGGAGTCGATGAGCCTCAGATCGGAAGATCTTGCTGGCCAATTGATCGGTCCGCCTCCCCCTATGCAACTATTAGGGTGCCAGCCGTCTTGATACGGTTCTGAGATCCGCTGGGTCTCATGAAGCATCATATTATATGGTTCTTAGAGTTCAACACAATAGGAAATCGTGTTGTCCAAGTTAATGAAATAAAGTGGTTGTGAAAAAAATACTGTATCTGAGTTCACATCTGGGAATCAACAGAACTGCGTGGAATGAATTACAACAATTTCATAATGAATGACTGTTTTGGGTTAGAATGGGTCATTATTTTCATTGTAGATCTGTTTTTGAGTCAATGTGGAAAATATTTGTTTCTCTTGGCATCAATAGCAATAACTCGAAAACTAGATAAGAATAAACCTACAGGGTGTAACCGTTATGATAGTCATTATTTAAATGGGTGATAGAGGGGGTTAAAAGAAGCAAAAAGTTTTATATAACATGGGCGTCAAAACGGCATTTTTTTTAGAGAAAAGCGACTTTAAAGTAAAATAAAATCTGACAACGCCGCAATGCCAGACGCAAATTACGACGGAACATAGTGTAAATAAAGATGGAGTTTGTTATTTTTGGCTCTTAGGTATTATTTCATTGATAATGTACTCGTAAACTGCAAACAATTAAAAAAACGGACTTACCACTAACTGTCTCAGCGCTTCACCTGGTGTGTGAAAGTTTATTGAAGGTATTAAAAAAATCCACTTATAAATAGGGAACACAATCTATTGACTTTTGGACCATGGGTCATATGAACTTTTTGACTTGTTTTGACCCCTCTATTACCCATTTCAATAATGACTACCATAACGTTTACACCCTGTATATCAAACAAAAGGAGAGCTATTTAATGATGTAGAAATATACAGGATTTTCCATTTGACATTTATGAGAGAAGGTACATTTTGCGTTTAAGATACCTTGTATAAGAAGGAAGATACTTGGGCATTTCTTCCAGATCAGCTTAAAATCGATGATGATAAAATAATTTGTGAACTAAAATTTATCTAAATATTACATGACAGAATTTAATTTTCACATGATGGATTATTATTCAAAGTGTCCCTGAAATGTGGTCGATTCCTCGAGGTCACATAGAACACACCACAAGAAATATTTCTGAGCTCCTCTAGAGAAATATAAACCCGTGGAGTACGCTACCGCACACTCAATGACCGAATGATACATATTATTATCGCGATTTTCACAGCATAGTGCCTCACATAACAGTGTCCATAAACAATAACTAACTATTTTAGATCGTCATGGATAAAAAGTCCTAGCACAATATTGGTGAATTTTTTTGACCCTGTATTTGAACGGTGACATTTTTTTAAAAGCTTTTGTCCAGAAAAAAGCAACATCATCACATCGATAAAATGGGTATTTCATAACTGCTTTCTCAATTGTAAGATACCAAATCCAGTATAGTATCAACAGTAATTCTGGTATCAGATACTTTGAAAGTTTTTGCGGATCAGTAGGAACAGAATTGAAACAAAAGTCACCTACTTGTCCAGAGCTTCACTTCATTAGCTAAAGGATGACACAGGGACTAAAAAATAGCAATATTGTGTTCAGGCTAGTCCGTCCCTAATGATCAGAGAGATTGAATCGTTGGACGAAAAGGTTTAACCCTAGTAGCAGCTACGATGTCAAAAATGCATTCAATTATACGCCATTCAGAAGGAATTTGAGATAGTAACTAGTGACGTCCCTTGGTACCAGTATCTCATTTTTTGTATTAAAACCTGTCTCATCAGTTTTTAGATATATCATATATTCTAGGGCAGAGACTACAAATAATAAATATCATGAATGATTTTAGAAATCTAACCTTCATGTCTTGATATTGATCCTCGACCTCGGCAAGCCTGCAGGTAGCCGTAGCTTGGAACTCCCTCATCACCGGAACGAACTTATCGTTCGCCAATGGGCTCTGACTTCTATGGAACTCAATCTCTCTAGCAACATCTTTCAGTCCAGCACGTAGCTGTGCCATGTCCTTATTCAGCTCTCCCAGTGATACTTTGGCAGCCTCACGGACATGTGGTAGGTCTTCGTCTAGCCGCAGAATGTCCTTGAACTGGAACAATATTAATTAAATGAAATGAACAGTTACATAGTTTGTACAAGGAGAACGAGGAGTTTATGACTATTAGCTACTATCAAGTACAGTCATCTAAACAAATTGATGTTAGGATGTTGCATAGTTATGGTACGGAGTAATTCAGTCCACTGTAAATGACCGCTTGGGACAGTAAGGTCACTGTTGGATAGAAATAAAATTATCCTGATAGGGATTATAAGAAGATTAAAAATGAATGTATATGATGTGGTTCCCTTTGAACTTATTTTCTCAAGTATGCGGTATTAGTGGTTTCTCAATAGTGTCTTAGTTTTTGATCTGATGTCACAGCGTGGAAAGAGAAGGATCAGTCCAACTGGCGTGGTCTTTCTTAACAGTTTTACATCACCGTAAATTAACTAATCTCTTACCTTCCTCTCTAGAATCTGCACGAGGTAATGCAAAAGCGTAGTACCCTTTGCAGCGCTGGACTTGGTATCAGCCAACCTGTTCAGGGAGGTAAGCCTAAATCCTGAGGCGTTTCCTCTCGCACCACGGTTCATGTAATTTCCCAGAGCCAACACGATTTCTAATAGCCTTCTCAACCTCCTGGAGCGCGATACCTCTCTGGAGGCTTCCATCACACTGGTAATGCGTGGCAACAGCTCATTCAGTGTCACCTGGAAGCGCTTTTTGTAGTGTAGGCTGCGTAGTCGCTGTTCATAATGTGGCACTCTGGAATAGATTTTAGTCGTGATTGCATAGACTTACAAACATTGTTCTTACTCAATTCACCCAAAAACAGGTTTTTCTTCAAAACCTGAAGATACCTAGGAATTGTTTAGGGTTCTCCCAACAGTACATCAAATTAAAATATGAACGAAAACCAGTGAACGTAATATGAAACTTACTTTGAAATTTCGTACAAAAATCTGTCCGCTCTAGCCAAAGAATCTATTTCTTCACTGTGTTCTTCCAACAATGCTGCTTCCTCTGAACTGGGCGTGAACTTCAACAGTTGTTCGACCATATCCATAGGCAATTGTTCTTTGCTGTCCATGCTCAGGATGGCTTTGGTGATGTCCTCATCTGACATTTTCAATTTGCTGAGCAGAATAGTGCAGTTCTGAGCTCGTCGGCTGTCTATCACTGACAACACCTTTGTTTTGTTCTTGCCTAGTTTGCTCAGATCCTCTACGGAGCCTTCGTTCTGGAAAGATGAAGAATTAGTGAAGATACAGACTAGTTTCAAACTAAGGGCGCACTAATAGTCCGTAGTATAAGAAAAAATTGACTTATAATATACTCACCCCGACACCATTCTTTTGATATGCACTGAACAACTTGTCAATACTATCCAATTCCATGGTATTGTATAATTTGGTATCATCCAGTTCACTCCATATCGTGCCGTTCAGTTTTGTATCTGGTATTTTCGACCAGTTGAAACTCTTTAACGGATTGGATGGTTGCGGTATGTTCTTCTTCACAGTTTCCATCTTTAGCGGTTCAGATGGAGGGGCCATTGGAGCGCATGGTGGTGGAGGAGGACCAGGTGGACCTAAAATTATTTTTTTATTTATTTACGGTTTCCCATTACATAAAAACACATTGTGTTTATGTGACAGATTAGAGTATCTTTGTTTATATTATTAAATTAAACAAAAACTAAAGATTCATTTGTTACCCAACCAGCTTATTTTTAAAACCCAACAAGCTAAATCTAGATACATTGGAGTTTAAAGCTGGTTCATTCATACCATAATTCGTAGAATGATGTGGAAACGTGAACAGTTTTGTATTGCGAGATAGTCTTTCATTTAAATTTATTTGTTCAAGCACCTCTGCAATCTATGACACTATTAACTATTTTAAATAGAAAACATAGATCAAAAGTTTCCCCGCGGCGTTTCTAGGACTCTATGTCCAACGTACTTGAACATTTTGACTCCGACCCATTTTAATACGCAGAAGCGATAGCAGTAGTAGTATCTTCGGTCTCCTGATCAGTCGCCGTGCGCTGTACGAGTCCGAATGCTGTCCCATCAGAATTTTTTTTTTTTGCTATGGATGTTGTGATTGTCCACCCGGCGGATCTCGGGGGGCCAGAATGTGTGCATGGTGCATGCATACGTGTTCCCTCGCCAGAGTCCGTGTGGCGTTCCCCCTTTTCCCTGTATCCCCCTATAGCCCCACGGTAACTCATGGGTGTTGAGGCCTTAGGCCATCGTGGTAGTCGGAATGTAAAAAAATAGCTGCCTGTTTCAACAATATACCTTGCACTGCTTCAATGTTCTTAATGTCGCCAATTAAATTGAGCGACCATACCACTGAGTTGTACTCCAAAAAACTCCGCACCAAAGAGAAGGATAAAATTCAAAAAACTTCTGCATAGAGATGTTTGGTAGTTCTAAAAATGTATCTCATATTTTATATGATTTAGAAGTAATTTCTCTAATGAAATTAGAGTTAAAAGTTAATTTTGTATCAAAAGTTATGCGTAAATCCCTAACTGTACCAGTTCCCATGAGGTCACGATTTTCAACTTTATATTCATACATGGAGTTTATCTGGTAGCATTTATTCAAATTAGTTTTGATCTTATTAGTACCACGCCACCGAGTAAGATTTACGATATCTCTTTCCGTATCGTGGATATCTCTCACTGTTATGATTGATTTAAGATCATCTGCAAAAAACAAATAACTGCTATTTGATATAGATCCTGCGACATCGTTAACAAATAAATTGAATAAAACTGGACCGATGTGGGAGCCTTGGGGTACACCTGAAAAGGCTTTGATGGTACTAGATAATGAACCAGCACATCTGACACACTATGTTCGTCCTAGAATAGTTGACCGCTTGATACTCCCAAACCTTCTAATTTAGCGAGAAGCACATCGTGATTTACTCTGTCGAAAGCTTTCGTATAATTCGTGTAGATGGAGCTTGTTTTCAAAATCAGTTATTATGATGTTACCATAAACGATTAAATTTGTAGCAGTTGATGGTGAAGTTAGTTATTAATTGAATGTCGAATGTCCCTTGATAGTTTTTTCATACCAGGTAATCTATAAGCTTGGGAATTTATTATTGGAAAGACACCGAAATCTAAAGATAGATTCGAGTGGCTTAGCAATGTTGAAACTACACCTTTTCAAAACAAATGGGTAATACCATCCGGTCCATATAACAGCTTCAAGGGGGTTTCCATCACAGTATCTATGATTTCCGGAATGTTACACTGATATAGCGTTACATCAATACTGTTCCTTTTATATGTATAATTTCGATATAGGTTAACTTGCTCGTTTGTATGAGTGCATAGTAGCAGGCAGCAGCCCGTCTGTTGATTTAGTTGTTAATTCATATTTACAGTGTAAAGTGCGGACTATGCATCGTGGTCACGTAGTGAAATAAGGGCAGTTTTACGGTATAATTTTACGCGTGGTTTAAGCATAGACCAGTGCTTAGAAGAAATGACGCTTGCATTAAAGAATGATTGTCCTCATTTAAGAACTGGTTTTGGCGGAAGGATAAGTGTATTGAATGTGATGGAAATTACTTTGAACGAAATCAATAAATAAAGCTGTATTGCAAAACTTTTATAGTACCCTTTGTATATCGTCTCTATTGTTGCTAGTTTGATCATTATATGTCATAGTCGATGGTAGAATTGACTACTAACCAAAGAAATAGTGTAATTAATCTAAAATAAGTGTATTGCTTTGGCTACTGCAGGGTTTTATTACTCGACAAACCGGTTTTTTGATACCCGCCATCTGTTTCGCTAAAGTATGTTAACATCTTCAGGTGAAGATTAAATATTGACCGCGTAATTCTTCCCCGTTTATTCAGATCGCAGCAGTGAGTTGGTGAAAGTCAAATAAGACATTCTTGGTTTCCCAGCTGCAATTTCTTTCAACTTACCTGGAGGCGGTGGAGGTGCCAAAGGTGGAGGAGGTGGTGGCATACTGACGAAATCGTTCTTGCACTCCGCCGGCGAACTGTTGCTGATCTCCAGTGACTTGTTCAAACCGATGACTTTGGCATCATCCGGAATGGATCCAGAGCTCACTAGCCTTTCCAAACGATGCCTTTCACCACGCTCGCAACTCACTTGGCGATCCAGATCTGCGGCTCGATATTCCAGTTCACTTAACCTGGAATGACATCATTAGTTAATTCAAATGCTTTCAAGTATCATTAAGATATCGTTTAGACAGTTTGTTTGATCTCATATGCTGCCTCAGTATTTGGCGACATAACTGGCTTCATGGACATAAAGGATGTCTCAACAAGAGCGCCGGATTTGAATTTGCCTTCAATTTTTTTGTACAAATGGTATGGTGTTTACTTGATGACAGCTTTCATGCCCAGACCACGCGATTAGACGTCATGGAGCAGTATTCAAATGAGCAACGTTTAATTATTGTGAAAACTCGCTACAAAAATGAAGAAAAATACGCGGAAATAATTCGCAAATTACGTACTATTTTCGGTCGCAATAATACGCCAAATGAGTCGACAGTTCGCCGTTTAATTACAAAATTTGAGACAAAACTCACATTGCTGAATGCGAAGACCACTGTTCGTCGCCGTCATGGTCGTTCCCTCGAAAATATAGTCGCAGTGCGGGAATGTGTGGCCGAGAATCCAGGCACTTATATTCGGCATCGTGGCCAAGAATTGAGCCTTACCAGACCGACTCTGCAACGAATTTTGAGAAAAGATCTGTGTTTGCATGCGTACAAGGTTCAACTGACGCAAGAACTCAGGCCAACGGACCATGCGCAGCGCCGTGAATTCGTTGATTAGGTTCTGGTGCACCACAAATTGATGCGGATTTCTCGAAGAAAATCATTTTCTCTCATGAGGCACATTTTCAACTGAACGGGTACGTCAATAAGCAGAACTGTCAAATTTGGAGTTCTGAAAACCCCCCTGTGATAATCAAACAACCAATGCATCCGGCGCGATTTACCGTTTGGTGCGCATTGTGGGGTGGCGGAATGATTGGACCGTATTTATTCGAAAATGCAGCTGGAACTGCGGTAACTGTTAATGGTGTGTGGTATCGCGAAATGTTAACCGAGTTTTTGTGGCCTCAGTTGGATCGACCTGATGTGGACGATATGTTCTTCCAACAAGACTGTGCGACCTACCACACAGCACGCGAAACAATGGTGTTACTACGGGCCAAGTTTCCAGACCGTGTCATCTCTCGGTTTGGCGATCAAAATTGGCCACCAAGATCGTGCGATCCAACGCCAATGGAGTTCTTCCTCTGGAGCTATGTGAAGGAAAAGGTGTTTGCGAACAAGCCAGAAACAGTTGAACGAGTTTCGTGATGGCCGTTTACCGGATGTCCTATTTCACGTTAAATCGCAACTATTCCTCTTCATGTTGAAATATAAATACTCGCTTCATTCGAGAAGAAATTGTGTTTTTCTTGAAAATCAAATCCGGCAGTCTTATTGAGACACCCTCTTTATTACACAGAAAACAGCGCAGCTAATTTTTGGATTAGTGCGTGCATTCAAAATTCACTATTGAGTTGTGTATGACCATGAGCAATTTTTTTGTAAGGTTGCGAATGAAGGCAGTCATGATATCGAGCCACATGGTCATCGTATGTTAGTTATCGAAATGTCGTATCCATACAGTGAGCACCTTGATGGCACGTGTCAACGCTGCACACCGTAATTTGATCGAGTATCCCAGTTAGAAGTAGATGATTATTGGATTTGTTGATCTTTTATGTCAAATTATCGTAAGGCGACAAATTAAGTGACGCTGCGTTAGCTTTATATCATCATGCTTTTTGGGCGTTATTCTTTACATGCATTCTAAATAATATACGTACCTTTGTTTGGTTTCTATATGCAAACTGGTTTCTTTTTCTAACCTCTCCTTTATCCTATTCAGACTAGTTTCCAGATCCTCCTTCTCCTGCATTCTCTGATCCAATTCCTGTTCCTTCTTCGCCAACTTATTGGACATGTCGACATTTTCCTTCTCCAATTCTTCCGCTTTTTTCCGAGCGGCTACCAATTCTTCCTCTTTGGCTAGTAAATGGACTATTTCTTTCACTTCTATGTTCAATGGTGCTACGTCTGGATCTTTGATTCCTGTTAATAATATATATTTTATTAATATTTTAAGTTGCGTTTAAAGTACTTGGCTTCAGTCACTAATTAGTCATCGTGGAATTGCTACTCTATGTCACTTATGAAAAAGGAAACAATAAATTGTACTGGCATACCAAGCATGCCCTGTCAAGAGTACACGTACATATGTTGCGTTAAGTTACTGTTAAGATTTTGGTAACTGACTATACAGGGTTTTCATTTGAAAACTTGATTTTTTTTAAATAGGTCGATTCGTTTTCAAGAAAACCAGAAAAATATTTATCCTAATTTGTTCAGATAGAAACCAAAAATACACGAAAATATCACTTTTTATTTCAATAAGTGATATAGGCGATGTTCAAATTCCTGACGGACATTTTCAGAAACATGTTGTGTGATATCATGGCAGCTTTCGAAGATGCGTTGACGAAGTTCACTGAAACTTTCAGGTTCGGGAATAAACACAATAGATTTCAAATATCCCCATAGAGAAAAGTCTAATGGGGTCAAATCAGGAGATCTAGCAGGCCATTCTATAGGCCCTCTTTGCCCTATTCATTTATCTGAAAACTCGTCATCTAGCCATTGCCGAATCGGAAGAACATAGTGAGGAGGAGCGCGGTCTTGCTGGAAATACTCGTATATTTCAGCCTCATCAAGTATAGGGTTCCCATCCTCTCCGATTTGGTTTTCAATGGTTTCAGTGATAAGCGGATGGATGGTATTTTCCAAAATATCCAAATAAATGTTTCCATCCCATTAACAAACAATGCCCCACTCACTTTGTTTCCTAAAATGCCTGTCCATACATTACTTTTTTGGGGGTACTGGGTATGGTATGCCGTTCTACAAAAGCATGAGGATTTTCAGTTCTCCAATACCTGCAGTTATGCTTATTAACAAATCCATTTAGATAAAATATGCATTCATCACTGAAGCAGATATTCTTTACATGAATGGTATTATCTTGATTCGCTGCACATTGGTTCACAAAACTGAACTCGCCTATCGAAATCATCTTGGTTTACGCTTCCAATATTTTCATTTTGAATTGATAAAATTCATGAAGTTTAGTAGCTGTTTGTAGAGCCTAAAGAAATACCAGTCGCAGCAACAATTCTGCATAATGAAGTATTAGGATTTATTTTATGGCGTTAAACGTGACTGCAGTTTTCCGAGCACATACATTTTGGGCCCAATAAATTAGAATCATTTCCACTCTTTCGGCTAGTGTGTAAACCATTTTGGAAGTAAAATCTGAACCAATAAATTAATTTTCACTATGCCAAGATTGTCACAAAGGTAACTCTCAGCAAATTAAATTATTTCTTCTTAGCAACAAATACTAAACAGGTATAACAATAAATACAGTTCGCCCGGATATCTGTGTTGATGAAAAGAATGCGGAAAAAATTCGGGTTGTTATTTGGTTATTTCCACGTCTAATCTTCCGAATTGCTGTTTATGTTGGTAGTTTACGTTTTAAATTATAAACGAATTGTAGATTTGGCAAAGCCTGATGGGCAACATTTTGAACGCTTATTGAAATGAAAAGTGATATTTTCGTGTGTTTTATATCTGAACAAATTAAGATAAATAAAGATTTTTCTAATTTTCTTGTAAACGAATAGACTGATTTAAAAAAATCAAACGTCAAAGTAGAGGACTTCGACTTCCAACAAGCTGTTATTCGATACCCTTTGTCATTTAAAATTTTCAAGCAAATGACCCTGGAGGGCCGAGGGTGAAAGATCGTGAAGTAGTTTATGCTTAAAAAGTTGTCTCCCTTGACAAATCTTTTGACGATAAATCCGTGGTGGAAAGTTTTCAAATTAACACCCTGCATATAGCATGCCACGACAAGTACCAGTGCTCAGGAAGGCATAATTTTTGAAAAATAACATAAATAGTTGTGAACCATGATAGACCCGGAAGTCACAGTGTGGATTATCTACTCACCAAGCAACGAATTCAGACTTGGCATGATTTTTTTGTCTCCAAAATCTCTTAGTCTGTAGTCAGGTTGCTACCAAGGAATTTGAATAGATTAGCAGGAGCCAAGCCTATATCTTTACATAGCATTGGTTGTCGCCAATAGCATAGTTTTAATGCATACTTTTGATTTATTTGACTACCATCAATGTATACCAAAGTGACAGCGTTGTAACAACAGAATAATAATAGCAATACTCATCTGTGAAAACATCTACCTCCATTAGGCTTGTGCTGTTCTTTGCAAACTGTGTAAGAACACCATTGTCTGAAATCGTCTAACACCACAATTTGCAGCAAACCATAACATTTTTAAAAAATGACATCAAAATATGAATTTGATTACAGAACTGTCAAAAAATGAACTTATGTTAAATGCACTAGTAGTATGCACTTTGATCCTCACTACAGATTATGAGAATTAGAAGACAAACAAATCCTTGACTGGCTCCTTCTACCTAATCTGAATTTGTTGCTTGCTACCAAGTGAATCTAAGGTTAGCAACTTACCTGTTGTGTTCTGCTGTAGAACGATTTGCTGCACAATCCTGTCAAAAAGCAACCAATGTTGTGGATGTGATCCGTAGTCAAGCGGTATGAGCAGGCAGTGTTCTAGTAGAGACAATAGGTGCGGATAGGCGGCCGAATGTGACAGCTTCCGCCTCAGCAAATCGAACATCGCTGTGGCGCTTTTCGTGTCAACGTGTTCTTGTTCAAACTTCCTTGCTAACTCCTTTTCGTCTTCATTTCGTACCTGGAACAGCAGATAGATGGATAAGCCGATATTCAGGCAAAAAAACTATGTTTTGTCAAGAAGCTTTCTGAGGTTCAGATCATCGAGAAAATGATTTGGCACGAACACGTCTCGCCAATCTTAGTAACTTCTATGGATGAATAATATAACTTTGTGCATCCCCAATTAAGACTCGGTCTGAAATATTGATTACATGTCTAAACAGCTGCTGCCCTATTTAAATTCTTCATACTAAATTTTGATTAGAAGAGGAATATACAGGTTATCAGTGATGCTTCCTCTACAAAGAGTCTCAAGTTCCTTTCGCATGTGTTACCGATATGCCAACCAGGGGGAGGATGTAAGTAGTAGATTTTGTACCCTGCTTTCGGCGTCATCTGAAGAAAGTTACTTTCACTCACTGTGCTAAGAACACATCGTGATATCACTGTTTGAATATGTTAAGAGCATTGTTATAAATTGTGAAAAGAAGTCGGGAGCACAACTGTTGCTGTTAAAAATAGAGATGTCACGATATTGTATCTGTATGTGTAAAAGTAGCGAAATAGTATCATTCAAGTATTCTGTAAGAAATTAAGTACATCTAGCGTTATTGGAAGAATTGTATGAAACGTAGGAGAGATTGAAGTTGCACAGCACTAAAAGGTATTTTTTTTTCGCTGTGTGTCTATTAGATAGAAAGAGATTGCTATGCCAGCGGTCAATATCTAAGTAATACAGGGTAGCCGATATGTAACTGACTGCTTTGTATCTTGAATATTTGTGAAATGAAATGAAATACGTCCATTTTTTTACATCGTAATCTTTTATTGAAACTTAGAAATTATGTATGAAAAATAATATCAGACAAATGTCCGCCACTAGAAGCTGCACAATCCCGAGTCCTCTTCATTACATTTTCCATCACTTTTTGGTAGGTTTCGAGAGGATTGTTTTCAATCGCTTCAGTAATATTGTTCTTCAGCTGCTCTACAGTATTTGGTTTGTTGACATAAAGCCTATTTTTCAAAAATCCCCATAAAAAATTCAGGTGCCATTAAGTCCGGTGACCTTGGTGGCCAGTTGATATCAGCAAATCAAGAACTTGGACATCCCGGAAATATTGTTCGCAAAAGATTCATTGTTTCCCTAGCTCCGTGACAAGTTACTCCATCGTGCTGGAACCACATGTTTTGCAGGTTAAATTGCTGGATTTGAGGAGCCAGAAAGTTTTGCACCATATCACGGTAGCGCTCGCCAGTGACAGTAAGAGAATTACCTGCAGCGTCTTCAAAGAAGTAAGGTCCAATGACACCTCCATGCCAAACACCGCACCAAACTGCGACTCGACGAGGATGTAGTGGTCGTTGATGGATGATACGAGAGTTCTCTAATGTCCAGATTCAACAATTCTGCTTATTAACAACTCCCTTCATATGGAAGTGGGCTCCATTGCTCATTATCAGTTGTCGGCAAAAATCGTTATTTTGGGTATCAAGCTGCAACATTTCATGACTGTATTGCCGACGGCTTTCATGATCAGAAGGCTACAGTTCTTGGGTTAACGGAATTTTGTATGGCCGCAAATGCAAGTCTTTTTTAATAGTTTTTTTAATAGTGCATAATGACGTGCGACGAATACCCAGTTCTTGAGAACGATGTCTGGTAGACGTCTCATGGCGCTCCACTACACTTTCGCGAACTGTCTCGATATTTGGAGGAGTACAAACAATTCGAACACGGCCCGACCTTAGCAAGTCTTTATCTTCACCTGTTTATTCAAATTCCCGCACCAACTGACGAATGGTGTGGACATTGGACACATTATTTTGACCGCAATCTTGTCATAGCTTCCGAATCAACAATGCACTTATTTCAAGCGTTTCAACAATACGGACGCGTCGTGGGAACGTGTAGCGCTCCATGATAAATTGGACACATGTGCTTTAAACAACTACTACGGCGCCACCTACTGACATGCGTGTATCACAAATGGCGCGTAATTTAAACCAGTCAGTTGTATATTGGTAGAGGAGGCAGAAGGGTCTCGGAATGTGACTGTCATGAACGCCTGTGGTTGGAAGCGACAATGATAACGTTTCTGATACTGAAAGGGAGTGTTGGATGTACACAGTTCAAAAACAATGTTTAATTGTCATACACAAAATCTATTGCAAATCTGTTTATACCTTATACTTATGGTGGCTTAATTGTAATCTTTTTCTTTAGATGGCGTTTCCACAGGTGGTACTAGAAGCTAGTTAATAGAGCATTATCTGTAGTGTTCCAACGATCTGTTCTGCCAACTGTCTCTTACAGATATGTTGACATTTTCGATGTAACATGATAATCACCCAGGGCTACATCACCGTTTTAATATCTCGAAACTATGTAAAATTATCTTTTTATAATTGCTAGGAACACTTACCATCTCAAAAAAGTCTAAATGCCTGTCCAAAGTTTCGTTTTCGTGTAGTCTGAGCTTGTCGATGATCGGTTGGATCCCTAACATAAGGAATTCGTATCGGAGATGTAACCTAAATTCTAGGTTCTCCTGACCTTGGCCGTAATTCAATACGGCGTTCACGAATGACATTATGGCTGTTTTTAAGTTCACTTCATCCCTGTAGACTCCTGTTGACCGATCTAGGTCGTTGACGATACCTACGGAAGACGGTTGTATGTTAGCCATGGTTTTTTTGAAATACACCAGAACTAACCCTAGCGACTGCTAATATATTCAAATTTCCTCAACAACAGCATCTTTTTCTGTTCAGTAGTCTAAACGGCCATTTATAGTTTATGAGTATACACATATACTGGGTATCCCAGAAGTCGACGTCAAACCGCAAGCCACGGATAGGCCAGGTCATAATAGTTATAAGAAAATATAAAAAAATGTACTGTAGGCTTTAAAAAAAATTGGAAAAAATCTACACCCATTACTACAAATTTCATTGTTTTCTTAGACGGAGCGACTGACAGTGTCATTCTACGTAGTGTCAGCAAGACAGGTGGTAACGTCACTTTTATTAGTTCGTGAATGTGTTTATTTAATTCACATTAAATATTCAAACTGCCCTCCTTGAGCAGCAATGCAAGCTTGACATCTTTAAATTGATCAGACGTGCGAATCTTTCGTTATTAACAAATTCTGCTGCTTTCGTTATTCTGTCCCGTAGCGCAGCTAAATTTTCGATTAGCTTTGAGAAATTGTACCAGACCGTCCAACCCATCTGCTCGGGTATACCGCATCAAGATATTCTCTAACTGAACTGGCATAGTGCGCCGGGCAGCCATCTTGCTGGTACCACCTGCCTCTGTAAATGCTTAGTGGCAGGTCTTCCAACAAATTTGGTAAATGATGTAGAAAGTATAAATGAATTTTGCCATTCAAGATCTCTTTAAAACGATACTGTGATCTATCTTGTCTCATCAAATGTGGATTTTCTGATTCTTCCTCCGCCATGCACTTGATTTGGGAATCTCCTCTCTGAGAGTAAACGGTGCATATTCACAGAAACTCTGTGATCGGGATGACGAGCAGCATTTGGATACTTCTCACGATAAAGCCTAGGTGCAGCACTAGCATTGCATCTACATTCCCACTACACAATCATGAATTAATAAAAGTGGCCTTACTATCTGCCTTGCTGTCACTATGTAAATGATTGGATGTAGATTCGTCGGATTTTTTTAAGCGTATAATTTGAAAAGTACACGACTTAGATTTTTTTATATTTTTTCTGAAAACTATGACTTGGCCTATCCCCTGTTTCCAGGTTGACGTCAACTTCAGTATAGTAAAAACATGAATAGTATTAACTTGGAATATTAAGGGGTTCCACACTTAAGCTTCGTATCCCAACCAGAATGAATTCTCAACAAATTTTGTAGTAGCGGAACTACCGATCTAGAAAACTCTGTGCCGATAGCTTTCAACGTAATATTTGGTATATTTGTAAATGAGACAGTTTTGTTTATATAAAATAAATGGCATTTAGGGTGTTTCCAAAACAGAGGTCGAAAACTCAAGATATAATCCTTTAGACTATGCTAATTATTGTAACATTATTCTCTAACAAATTCCGAAATACCGTTCCGTAACAATTTTTCTTGAATAACTTTTGAACAACACGAAAATTTTACAGCATTGCAACTAGCTAAAGCCAAACATGGCGGCATTTAGATGCAATATTTTTCAAGAGGATAATGGATCAAAAGCAATATTTTAAGACCCTGATCTTTCTAATCTATTGTTTTGTCAAAAACAAATACCGACCATCTGGTTCCGTTGTTTTAGAAATCCATATTCGGAATCAGCGACGGGCAAAACTTCCGAAAATAAGTTTTCAGATTACTTTATCAAGTTTTGTACAGCTTTTTGGGAATTATACTCAGTGTAAATCAAGAGGAGCAGAATTGAAACAAGATTATTTTTTCTCAAAAACAGCTCTTTTTGTCGAAATGAAGTAAGAATGCGATTTTTCTTTAGAGAAAGGAGCAGGATTTCTGAAAATGTTACTTTTGAGCCATTATTATGCAGGCATAAGAAATTAGCACCATTGCATTCGGAGTAGTCCATCCATGGCTACCTAAATGGATTAAATGTATTACATGGTCACTATTGTGTAAGGCATCCACTGCACTATTCAAAAAAATTAAAGGAGCAAAAAAATACAAACTATTCAGTGACGAGCTGTTGGTGGAAAATGGACGTATCTAGACTTAGAAAACATTTATGTTATGATTCCAGTTTTCAGATATTTCAACCGAAAATTTTTTTGGTAGAAACGGTTCTCATGCAATTCTTAGATATAGCGCAAGAAAACTTGTTGGCAAAATGTTTGCCTTTTTTTTAATCTAAGGTTTGAAACATTTTTTTCTACTAGGGCATTATATGGATCTGATAGCTCGTTCATTCAGCTTCAGTACCCTGTTTTTAAAATCTCCATACGACCATTGAGCACGGAGATATCTGACATTGAATAAAAAAGGATCCTTTTCTCATTATTTATGAGCGTATTTCTGAAAACCGTAATTAATCTCCTCTAAGATTTGATTGTAATATTTGAGGTACTTTTTTGTTTCCTCGGTGCTGATCTCTTAAAAAAGTAAAAAAGCTACATTTTGCAATGTTTTAGAGAACCGACCGCAGTTTTGGAACTGCTAATTAAAAGGCTAATATTTTTAAGTTTTTTTATACCTCAACTCTGCACGACGACAGATCCATCCATTGTACGGTTTTTCCTAAGTCTGCCTTTAAGACCCCCCAAAAAATATTTTCTTGATCCGCCCCTGGTTGGTATTTGGTGTTTTGGAATATTCCATGAATAAAAGTATAAAATGTTTCCAGTTGTTTTTTTCAAATTGAAGGTGTTGCAGATATCCAATAGTGACAACAGAAAAAGAAAAATTATTTTTCCATTTTCAGCCAGATTACAGGATGTTTCGATAAAAAAAATTGATTTCTTTTAAATTTTGACCAATCGGTTCGGAGAAACCGTTATTAGGTTGACATTTTTGAAATCAATACTATGGAAACAAAAAAAAATCTCTTAAGGTTGCAATCAAATCTTATAGCAGATTCAACTTTTCGGAAAAATCCTTTCGTTCTCTGTGCGATCGATGGTTATCGAGATATCAGTGGTCGATGATAAAAGCATCCTTTGTCATACAAAGTCAGATATCTCCGCACCAGATGGTCGTATCGAAATTTTGTAGGATACTGAGACTAAGTAAACGGGCTATCTGATCCATATAATGGCCTAACAGACCGTGGTCTAAAAAGAAGGCAAAAGTTTCGCAAAACATTTTTCTGACAAAAACCTGAAGATTAGAATCTTGAAGCTTGAAAAAGCTTTTTTAGAGTCTAGATACGACCATTTCTCACCAAAATTGAGCCTGTACCGAAGAATGTGGATCTTTGTCTTGCCCACTTAATTTTTTTGGAGTAGTGTAGTTACTTAGCTGTCATTTTTTTTATTATACGATGTCGTTCGAAAGTTATTAATAACCAATTTCCAGTGGCGCACTTCAGGGGTCTCTACCGAAGCGGTATTTCGAAAATCGCTATAGGCAATATGGTTTCGAAATAGTCCAGAAATAGTCCAAAGAATCGCCCTTCAAATTCTTGCCCCCTGTTTTGAACACCTTATAGAGACTATACTTTATGATTATATGTAGTAAAGATAAAATCACTTGTGTTCAATTTCACCCAATTATGTGGTATTTAGGATCTCATGTACTTACCCTGAAACCTGGTGCGTTCGAAGGCATATTTTTGATAATGTAACATGGCATCGAGGACTTTTTTGTGTCCTCCTGAGACTAGACAGACAGCGCCGAGTATTTCTAAAGCGGCAATTTTGGTCTTGATGTTTTCAGTGCTGAGCGATTGCGCTATTGTGTTTATACTAGTGGGATGTGCCAAGACGTGTGCTCTACCAGTCTGCAAAAGTGCAAATAAATATCACTTAAAAAGTTTCTAGTGCGAAGCTAGGTACCAAAAAGGTTACCAAAGGTACGCATCAAAACCGGACGGATTAATTTCTGGTGGTGCATCGACAGTGCGAAATTTTCAATCCGTACTATACAATATCGACAGAGGATGATTGAAGTCAAGTTTTCAATGTATATGAGAGAGATAGACAAAGATGCTTGCATGTTTATGCGAGAACACGGATGATGCGTGCTACACACCGAGGATAACGAGTTTGTGGACGCTTTCGCTCTAAGATACGTGTTTTCCCTCTATCTCACTCATACACAGTGAATACGGGATATCAATGATTTACTGCCGTTCCTGTAGATTCACACCTTTTGATGCGGAATATGATTGTGAATTATGTATATTATGCAACTGAGAATTTTTGAGATCCTGAAGGATTATATCCTTTCTTCAGGAACCAAACGAGTTCAAAGGTTAAAACACTGTAGCAGAGAACATTCATCAATTAAAGATGAACAAGGTGCAATTTGTACCTTATGACGCTATCTTCTGAGAAACATTGACAAGATAAAAACACGTGCTGTACCTAATACTTCTGTTTTGTTTTTTTAACACTAGAAGTTATTAAAATGCGTTTTCTTATGTTTGATATACTTTTTACAAATATCTTTTCGATAAAATTTGTTTGTTTGTTGATTTATTTAGCATTAATGCTACAAGTTCATTTTTGTGTAATGATTTTTTCACATTTTTTGAATCAATTTTTTGTAATTTTACATTCTTGACTATTAAAATTGCATCTCTATGCATTTTTGATACTCATAAAATATTTTTTCAATTTCACCTTGAACATTTTTAAATTCAAACATCGTACAATATCATTATTCAATTTATTACATTCAAATACTCCCTTTTGAAATACAGATTTGCTAGTTCTGCTACTATTACAATTTTGCAGATGAAAATCTATACCTACTCTAGTTTCATAGTAATGATAATGACTATTTAATTTTGTGAAGTTTTCCAAATGTGATGATAATGTTTTGATTGGAATATGGAAATAAGACCTAAATAACATATATTTTTTTACATTCAACAACTGCAATTAGAAAGCTTCTCTATACAGATGTTTGTTTTACCGGAGAACCTTAAAAGATAAATTTCTGAAGAGCCATGAGGTAGAAAGTGCAATTTTTTTGGTTTTATTGACATCCGTCGAAAAGAGGAAAATTAATTTTTTAACAGATGTTTTCTTAATGAGTGCCTCGAAAACAATGGCGTTTTTCAATTAGTCAACTATTGTGGCTCATAATTTTATGTGAAAATTGGAAACCACAGCTACTTACAGAATTGTTCATCAAGGCCTTGACACACCCTATGATGCTCGTGTGGATGGAGCTTTGAGCGGTGAAGTAGTCCATTTTCTCCAGGCAGTCCAAAAGGGCAGTTAGTCCATCAAGTTCGATGAACTTTATCACAAAACTGTGCGCTGACGTCCTCAGAGCTGTTTTTAGGCCGTCCACGATTTTCGTTCTACTCCTTACTTCTTCTTCGATATTTGTTTCTGGGTACTGTAACTGTTTGAAAAAAAAAACATCAAGTTATTTGTCTTCATTCAACCAAGATTCAGCAACATTAGAAAATCTAAGCTAATACAGCAAAGATCCATTTTCCAAATTCATACAACTTGGAGATAAACGAGAAAAATGTACTTTTTCGTCCATTATCCACAGGGTATTTTCAAAACATGAAACAACAATTCATTGGGCGGGAATGTAATCTCCTCTCCCCGTTTTGATACAAGACGAATAAAATTTTCTAAAAAAGATTTTTTTCGACAAATATTGCATGTGAATCTTCAAAATCTTTCCAAATATAGTGGGATCATTTATTTTTGAACTACATGAATGAAATATGCGATATTTCACTAGAGTAGTGTGGACTGATAACTTTAAATGCTCCATAAGAAATAACATGAGGGGGTTTGAGTTCGGACATCAAACAGGTCTCAAGTTAGCTCCTCCCCAACCTATCCAAGGTTAACCGTATATTTTGGTAAAAAAACGATCATATTTAAGTTGTTAAATGTAACTTATTTATAATTATTAATTATTTAGTCTTATGATGGATTCATGCAAACTGGTCAATGTGCATTGTACGTTGGCGTTTAGAAGCGAACCATTAAATGTTCACAACACTCTGCTGGATCTCCCTTAAGTGGGATGTCCAATGAATGGTGGTAATTTCACAATTTTACTAATTTGTTGTAACCAAACACTGAATATTGACTCAGAAATTACAAACATAAAATATACTAAATCCAATTTAGTATCATTGGCTATTACTGTCAACAGTGATCCTAGGAGGAGGAATACTGGTTGTGGAATGCACTCAGTCTCATGATTATTAAAGTTAGTCATTTGGGTCGATCGACTTTATGCAAGCAGATTTTTGTTATACTCGTAGTTCCATTGATATACTCGCATCTTTAGTCAAAAACGATGCACACTTGTTTAGTCATACAAAGAGAAACAAAGCGTGCTGAAAGAAGTTCGATTTTTATAGGCAGACACCATTCATTGGGAGCATTAGTCATCACGACAGGAGATAATACTTACACCGAACAAAAGCAGATCACCTTTATGTATAGATTAGTAAGAATTTGACTATACCGATAACACATGACTCAAGTTAATTTCAAAGTTATTTAATACAGAATTTAAAATAGTTTTCATCACATCTCATTAAAAAAAATAACTGTTAACAACAGTAAAGTGAATTGCTGTCAGGACTAGGTTGGCCACGTCTTTGACACCACAGGCTAAAAGGTACTTAGATTCACTTGATTATCAAGACGCCTCTGTGGTGACTTACTTAACGTATATATCTTGCTTGAAGCTGCCGATAGCCAACTCTAGGTTAACACCTTCCTGCATGAACAAACGTTGTTATAAACTGCATCTGCAGGATGAGTTTTCAAGGTAGATGAGTTGTTATGAGATCTGGGCCTATGATTCTTCCTTGAAGCTTACATATCTGGACCCTTTTCAGTAAAGGGCTTAAAAGATACTTACTGTTGCTAAGGTGTGCAGTCTTTCAATATAATGTTCCGGTGCGTGTGTTTGATCCATGGTGTCTTCTCCTTTTTTTGAGCAATATATCTGCCATTTCTTCTGTGGTGGTAGGCTCATCATGGCAGCCTTGTTAGGGGCTGTCAGGTCGAGCTCCTCCTGTAAAAATAAAATTCGGTAACTACGAATTCTTCTAAGCTGATTTTGGAGTAACCCGTGTGAAATTTTTAGTTCTGTGCCTTTTTGAAAAATTTTATTTTCATTATTTTTCTATCGTGATGGTATAGAAAATAATGGAAACACTTATCTATTAAATGAACTTCGTCGCTGTCGGGTGTGAAAGTTGACCCTGTTTTTAAGAATTTGTTAGAACCCTCATGTGTCTGTGTGTGTGTGAAACTCAAATGTTCTCGCATGAGTACTTCATCAAATCAATTTGTATGCTACTACAGCTGGTACGATCAATTGCACTAAACCATGAATGCACATTTTGTTTTTAATGGTTCGGCTTCGTGAAATAATTTAACAAAAATCAAACCAATAAAAAAATGAGAACCTAGAGAAAGAGAGACACTGAGCTCACACGCAAAGTTGTTATTAGTTCATAAAGGTTTAGCTTAAGCAACAGTTAGCACCTTTCAGAAAAGTTAGCTAGGGACATGTTTAACAAAAAAGGCTAATGCAATTAGTCTATAATCCACACCCATTTATATAAACTAACGAGAACAAATTGATATATAACCGCCCCCACCTCCTACAATCTCAAATTTTGAACCCTTACGAAATTTTTCCTAAAAATGACAAGGAGCCTCTGAAACGTCAAAAACACAGCTAGAACGATTTTTCCGCTTTTACCCGTAGCCTATATAGTAGCAATATACAGGGTTCGTTTAAGGTCGCACGTCCCTCTTTTAGTTTTTTTTTCAACTACCTGTTTGCAGCTGTATTCTAAATCTTTTTCATCTGATTACTTCATGATGTGTATAGAGATGACTAAAAAAACGTCGTTTTTAATTTGTCATGAAATGCGTTTTTTGTACATTTTATTGTAGATTTTTCTTCGATCGTAACTTGTTAACAAATATTAGTACGGCTCTGAAATTGTATGTGAATATTTCACTTTTTTGGATGAATGAAGCAGGTTATTACTTTTATTCTTATCACTTTCCTCTTCGAAAAATATTTGCTTTTCTTGAGAAATGAACTTGCTGCGAGACGAGGCTTCAAGAAAATCAAAGATTTTTCTAAAAGAACAAGCGATAAGAATGAATGTAATCACCTGTTTCATTCTTCCATAAAAGAGGAATATTCACACAATTTCAGAGCTGTACTTATATTTGTTAAGTTCCTATTGCAGAAAAAAGCACAATAAAATGCACAATTGACACAAAAAAAATGAAAAAATTGTTTTTTAGTCATCACACACCATGAAATTATCAGATGAAAAGGATTTAGAATCCTATAGCAAAGTTCATGAGTTTACCTTGCCGATATAAATCACAAACCATTCCAGAAGATACATTTTATTTTTATGCAAAAAGAAAGGGTTGCATTTTTTCTTCTAAACAAATTCAAATATGCACTGAACTGTTTATAGTTACCAACCTAACTGAAGATACAATTATGTTTCAAACTGTCTTAGTCTGTATGTAGCATGTCCAAAGTCTTGGAAAATAAACTCGAAAAAACCAAAAAACAGTAGACAAATATCAACCAATTGTAGCAAACTAATCATCTGAAAAAATAGGCAAATTGCTCGGTATTAGTCCCTAATACATTGTTTATAGTTTCAGCGTTTTATTTTGTACAGTTTTCGAAATTATTCTAATTGTTTTTAACAGCTCCATTTTTTCTATTATTTTTTTAAAATTTGGTGAAATAAAGCTTTTTCACATTATGTGTACTTTTATTGTGATCAAACAACTTTTTGCACGCCATAAACAATGTAAGCTTGCAAACAGGAAAGCAGCGGTATAGTATAATTCTTTATACTTTTTTTAATATTAATTTGATAAAAATGGTAATTAGAATGTAAATAACAATATCAAACAGCTATTAGATATAGTTTATCGTACCCATAACACTCTGTAATAGGGTACAGACTATTCAACTTGGACGTATCTTGGAAACTACTTGAGGAAAAGCTTTGGGTCCGTGTACCCGTTTATTCTAGTATTGAGATCTACTACATTCTAAATATAATAGGCCACTTTAGGTCTATTTAATATCAACACGTAAAATGGTGCTAGACAAGGACCAATCGACCGAGGCGTTACCACCCGCTAGCTCTTCCCAGGGTGTCTTATAAATGTCCGCATGTTTCCACACCTAAGCTATGCAGTCGGTTATCTGCCAAAACAAAGAAATTAATGATGATGGATCAGCTGTGACACGCTGCCCTCTTAAGCAAGCTTCCATCCTATGGCCTCCCAGAAAAGCTTTGCAGATGGGTGGCTGACTTTATCTCTGATTGACGGGTTCTACTCTTCATCCCACAACGTCAACGCGGGTGTTCCCCAGGGATCGGTCGTGGCTCCGACACTGTTTCTCTTACATATCCACGACCTCCTTTCCTGCACGATCAACCCAATCCACAGCTTTGCTGATGACAGCACTCTACATGCAGGAATTCAGAGAAACAGGCCGATGTCTGCCGCTGAGCTGGAAAAAAGAAGGCTAGTGACGACATCCTCTCTGACAAGAGACCTGCAGGCTATCACTGCTTGGGGACGCAGCAATCTTGTACAGTTGAATGCTTCCAAAATACAGTACTGTACGTTTACGAACAAAAAGCATCCTATCGCTCATCCGGTTTCGATGGATGGCCGAGTTCTGTCAAAGAGCCATTCATTTCGGCTGGTCGGAGTCCAGATCACCGAGGGACCTGATCTGGCACGAACACATCTCGTCAATAGCTGCAGCTGCTGCGAAAAAGCTAGGCTATTTGTTTAGATCTAAGAAGTACTTTTCTCCGCATGACCTTCTCACTCTATTCAAGGCCCAGATAAGGCCTAGCCTCGAGTATTGCTCACACGTTTGGGGTGCTGCCGGCCCGACTACATTATCCATGCTCGATGCTGTCCAGAGGAGGGCGGTCCGACTGATCGATGACTCTTCTCTAACAGATGTACCTGCCAGACAGAGTCGCCTAACTTTGGCGTCCCATCCTAACCGTGTCGAGCTTCGTACATCCAGAACTGGGCGATACGACCGCTCCTTTGTCCCGAGAGTGTCGAGACTGTGAAACAATCTACAAGAGGAAGCTTTTCCCAGTTCTACTAATCTTAGGCAGTTCAGATATCGTAGTAACAAAATTTCTTTGAGATCATCATAGCAGCAGCGGTGTTCCGGCATTTAGGCTTCTGCCTGCGCGGCTGCTTCGATATAAAACAAAAAAAGAAAAAATAGCCGAAAGGCGTCCTCAATACGTTTACTGCGGGATGTTTTGTAGAAGTTCTCAATTGTTTCCTAGCTATGAAAAGAAAGAATAACTATAACATTGCTCCTAATTTACCAATGTTTGTCAAAACGCAAGATTATGTTCATTTCTACGGAAATTCTTACTGACGTTTTTCACAATAATATTGGTAAGTTGCCAAAATAGAATGTAGGTTAAATTCCGTAAACAATAAATGGCACTGCCGCATCAGTTGGCGCCGTAACATCCGTTTAATCGGCGAAGCCCTCTTAAAAACCGCGATGGCATTAAGTAATTGCTTTTACTGCTTTCTACTGAATCGCCAAACGAGGTAAACTGTTGCAGGAAGCGTCCGCCGAACGCTAACAACTGTTACGCAATCCGCGGCATCCGTAAAATCCTCGTTACGGCCAGGCAAATGGGATAAAAACCGCATCTTTGTGTAAAGGAAATGTGCCGCCGACAACGCCGACGATTTATCCTTTTGCATATTTGTGTTCGTCTGCGCAAAACAGACGTATCCGCACTTATTATAGATCAACGGAAATATATCAAATGGAAAATAGAACTCTGGAAAAAAAATGGCGTCAAAGATGCTGACTCTGCACTTCCCATGCAACCTAGGTCATAAAGGATTATGTGCGGCATAAGCTATCCCTTGTTAAAAGGAAGCTAACTGGAACATGTATAATAAGGGAATTCAATGGAAAGGGGCAATCAGAAATGGGACCATATAATTAGTCCCCAGTCACCAAACATTTCGATGATTCGATCATAGTTAAAATCGTTAGCGTCGGGGAGGCGAAGTCTGGCAACCGGTTCTCCGTTGGCCCTTTTTGCCAACCTGGTTATACCAACGCTAAACTCCTCATCTACCGATATCATTTAACTACGATGTGAGGATTCGATCCACCGATTCAGGCTTGTACCCACATGGTGCGTCCGTATATAGACAAACACAATATTAGTGACTTGAAATCATTTCTGAGGCCGGGATGAGCTAATGATCGGCACCATAACACACCGGCCGGGTTATAACAAATAAATCAAATTTTTTTAAATGAAAAATTTGTTTTATGAAGCTATCAACAGTGTCGGCAAACCATTGGAAAGATTGTATCCGTCACGTTCAAGAGGCAATCGAAACAAAGATGTGGGATCTGGACAATATGATCGATATTCAAATTGAACCTGTAATAATTATTATTAACCATTCCGACGATGATTCAAGTACTTCCAGCGAATAAAGAATTGTGAAAAGTATGTGCACTTCTTTCTATAAATATAATGATTTGTTAGATTATTCCAAGAGCATTGAGGAAAATTCGGACCTGTACAATCTCGCTTTTGGGCATGTTGTGTTTTGTCTGGGCGTAAATAGACTACGAATGGGGTATACGATACTTCTTGTTGGTCAAGTTTATTGTAATTTAAACATGTGCCCAGAAAGTGCTTGCAGTTTGTATAATGGAAACTTACCGTAACAATGTTCCGATATTGATAATAAAACAGGTTAGAAACAGACCAATATCAAAAATGGTATCGATTATTTAGTCTATGTCTTAGTCACATACCAAAAAAAGGTCGTAATGGGTATTACATACCTATCTAACTACTTCATTTTAAATATAACATAAAAAGGTTTTGCCCACCAAAGAAAACAGGCACACCTAAAAGTGTGCAGCAAGCGTCGAAATAGAATTAATTACTTTGTATATTTAAAAATATTTAAATCTAGAGG